TGGATTACAGAGAATGACTTTTTGCGGACAAGTCCGGTGCCAATTTTCTGACCCTGGAGTGATAGGAGGCTTGGTGTGCCTGAGCGGCATCGAACCAGCACCGTTCTCGTAATGGTTGACATTACTGCCACTGTGCCAGCCACTCCCGGTACCTAGTTATCACGATTTAAAATTCACGGTATGAAACTGGCATTACTTTAGTATAGGAAGGAAGCAAAAGAAAGAATAATTATGTACTAGTAGTACTTAGTATGGCTTGGGAGCGTTGGTGTAGCCGTACATTCGAACGGTTACAACGGTGGTGTCACAGTACGACGTCTCGCTGAGGTTATTAATACATTTCTGACCGATTTGCAAGTTTTCTATTAAAAATTCAATAAAAACGTAGATGAAGCATCACTTTACACGACATGCATCCTCTCAGCGGAATGTTTTTCTCTCACGACAAAAACGGGACACTTCGTTTTACTTCGCTTTATCTAGTATGTCCTAGAATCTCTCTCTCTCCCTTTCTTTTAACTCACATGAAAAATTTCCTTCCAGGTGGCTGTCCGGCCTGAAGGCGAAGATCTCACAATTGGCTGGCTTTTCAGAGTGGATGAGCCAGCTTGGAATCGGAGACAGTTCGCGACAGAAAAATATGGTAGGGGACTGCTTGTGGCAACAGCCTTGTATTTTTTTTTGTGTATGTCGCTTTAACAGTAAAGAAAACGATGTGGTGCTGGTCGGGCATCATGGTCTATTTCCATTCTTTCCTCTTCTTCTTCTCCATCCTCTTTTTTTTTGGAAACTCAATTGCTTGCACGATTCTGCACATCTTTTCAATTAATGTCTTGAACGTGAACGAGGTGTAAATCCCAGATGTGGATTTTTCATAATTGGATAAAATTTTTGAAGTTTCATTGGACGTTTCCACGTTCATACGGCGATTGAGCGACTGAACAAGTTTGATTTTTTGGTAACTGGAAACAATTTTAGCCACAACTTTTCACTGTGGCCGACGAAGTCAACTCCTGAGGGTTTTATTCCAATGGATTTAACTTGAATCGTCGAATCCCAGGGGAATGTGATACCACCGAAACGTCGGTTCCAATAATAACTTTCGTAACAATCTCGCATAAGCTTATCAGTAAGGCGAAATGTTTTCTCTTAAAAATAGAGCAGTTTCATCCATCTCTCTCTACATGAACCATACAAAATTCCATTACGTATGCATGTCTTTTTGAATGTGTTTGTACCGAACGTGCTCTACGATTACCTGAAGAACCGGTATTTCATGACAATTGTAAGTTTCAATCGGAGACTACGGTACAGTGGTTGGGAACAACACTGAGAGGTAATGTGTGTTCTGAGAGATCTAGGCAGAAGATCCAAGCGAGATTGGACGCTTGTAATTGTTTGTATTCTTTCTAAACGGAAATGTGGACCGCAATCTCTGCGTTCACCTTCATCTCTACACTCCCATTTCTTCCTGTTACAGATATGAAACATTTGCTGACAAGCCCATGTCGTCGAGAATTCTTCATGTCACCCGTCGTTGTTTAGAACTTTCACAATTCTTCTCGTCGTATTTGTAATTCTAATGCGAAACCGATGAGAACCAGACGAGTAGAGCAGTGGAGTAAACCCTAAGAAGATAGACACGTGTTTAAATGAAAAAGTTTTTTATACCGTGCGCTACCAAGGTTTTTTCCCACTATCCATGTATTCTTTCACATCTATCGACGACTGTTCGATCATGATTACATCGGTTGAGAATGTCCTCAACAGTGTTTTCACTGATCTCAATGCCTTATCCTGCTTCTCTAATAGTCTTTTGCTCTGCCGAATCCTATGTAACAAAAACCTTTTTCTGAATCGACAGTAGTGGATGTCATAGTTTTCACAGTTAAATTTCCCATCAGTTCAAGAAGACACTTCATATACCCATATGACATTTTTTTGTTACCGTAGAATGCGTAGCTCAGTAAACCATTGTTTTTTTTACCTATGACTTACCGAGAAAGTTTCGCCAGCTGTGCTATTGAAACTAGAAATATTTAGTTCGATTTTCTCCGATTCAAGAAGAGAGAAAGGTATCACACTGTGCTAACGACGAATTAGAAAGAACTCATCAGAAGGCCAAAAGCACTGAGTTCAATTCCAGCATTAGATATATCACGTGTAATCCTCTTGGTCTTCAAATAACTCTGTACGGATCAGTACAGTTTCCATGCTTTGGCGTACCTCTACCTCACTGATCCGTGCACTCCGCTTGTTCGGAAGGCCACGAAGAACATCATGCTTTTGGTGTGGTGCACCAATTTTTTAAACATAACAAAAGCGGTTTTTTGAAAACACAGTAATTTTCGATCACTCGACTATTTGAGAATTTGAGAACTCCAAACATTCGCACAACAAACTTTGCTATATCCCATTAACTATGTCCATGATTTTTATATAGTATTCTTTCATAAATTCTCCCGTGGTTCACCGCCTCATCGAGGCTGGGTGGTGTTCCTGAGTGTCGGGCTGCGATGTACAGCTTGAGGACTTGCCCCCGGCAAGACCTCCCACGCTGAGAAGGTGTCCGGCATTTCCATGAGGAAGACCGACCAAGAGCAAACCAATACCGTTATCTACCATCGCCCTGGTATCAAAGTGCTCGCATGGTTGCTAAACCTTCCTGTAATCCACAAGGGCGGCGACTGCCTGTGGTGGTGGCTTTGGCTAGGCTTAACTCGAGACTCCAAGATCCACAATGACTAAACCAACAAAACTCCGAAAAATGGAAATTATGCACAATCAGTGAAGACGGAACTTCCAGTTATTTAAGTGAGTATTCCTTCATAAGCACTGTCCTGTCCAGCTGGACAAAATTCCGGCTATACAATTGCTTTCACCTTCAAAACACGAGCTTCAGTGGATGAGAAATAAATGTGTCATGGGTTTAATAGAATCAGACTTCTGAATAGGGGAAAGTTGCCGTCTTACGGCTACGTTGATTTAATGCGATAGTGATTCCCAACATAAGTTCCTTCTTAGTTGTGTATCAGCCAAGGTGAGGTGGTTGAGCTCTTCATCAGTGGTGACCTTCGCGCGGTGACAAACACCGTTATCTTAAAAACCAAGGAACACCCACTGACTACTGGCATGTCTGATCGATATTAAGACTGTGATGCCAATGTACAATGTTGAAGTAATTCCTTGATTGTAGTAGGTATGGGGATTTCTGTTTCCCTATTCACCACCTTGCTCTAACTATGTTTTCCAATTGATTAATAACATTGTCGTGCGTATTCTGATAGGTAGAATAATGTTATAAGTGAATAATCAAAGCATCTATCGTCGTTCGAATAAAGTAGTGGCCGAAGAGCGAGTAGTTGGAAAGGAATTCCTATAGCTTTAGCACCTAATTCTATTGATTACACTTAAAGTGGATTTGCCCTTCCTTTTTTTTATGGCGCTAGACAAACATCTGGCTGAAATCTCTCGCGAAACCAGGTGCAAATACTGGGAAATATATCGAAGGGGTTGCAAATATCCTGACGATTCGTGTGATTGCCTGTGTTTTGACAATACTTTAATAAACATATTGCCTTACTGACATCTTCACAGTCTCACTACTACGTACTGGATTCGATCATTCTCGTCTTTGTGCAAAGAATTGATTCACCCCGTAAGCGGGAAGGAACCGGCATCGACTTCGGAGACAAAGAGAACTCGTGTCGTAACGAACACATTATTGGCGAATTCCTTTTCTCATATGACTGGTAGATTAAGGAATACCTGGCCCAAGGTCAAGGTGTTGTTAGGGAATTGTTAGGGAACAAAAGCTTTGCCAAACGCCCTTCAATTTCATAGTTGAGAAGTTCGGATCAGATATCCACCTCAGCCAATGAGATGTTCAGAGAGAGAAGAAGAGAGAAGCCTAATACCATTTCAATCCAGCGAACAAACTTTTTAACAAATGCTGTGCAAAAGAATCGTGAAAAAGCGGCAAAAAAGAAACAAGGTAAATAAATGCCTTTGGGCCTTTGAACATATTGGTCGCTTATCAGTTCTGAGAAACGGAAATGGTGTCGCTACCATGCCCACTACGATTTCGAATTTCTAGCAGAGAAAGTCCACCTACCCTTTCCATTCCGAAAGCACAACGTATGGGCAAGATAGCACGATATTTTGTTTTCTTCAAGCTAGCAGCCGCAAACTGAATGCGCTTCTCGTAAGACATATGACCTCTTCCAAACCAAAATGTCTCAGACCAATGGAAGAAATCGCACGTGTTCTCCACTCGAAAAAGAGCGATCGAAAAACTGTTGCTGCCGCATAATTTCTTTGCCTATCTGCTTTACGAATCCTTTACGAAGATTATTCTGACGCACGTAGCAAGGATTTTCGATAAAGCGCATCCATTTGGGCAGACAGGACCCTGACAATTCCTGCTATATCATATTTAAGCCGCATCAAGGATCATAGAACTATGTTTGGACTACCACCTGTCGCTTTTCCTAGCCTTTGGTCAGTGCCTTCCTAATTATGAGTGGCGAACAACAGCTACACAGACTTCCTCGTCCAGACATTTGAATGTTGTCTTATCTTCGCGTTTGGGAGAATGCACATCGGAAGCGAAACATTGATGTACTAGTCATCTAATGAAGAAGGTCGACGATACATGGGGGAAAATGCAGTGTAATTGAACAGGAGATGCAAGCATCCCTCTGGAATGACCATCTGCAAAATGGGCTTATGTCAACCAGCTGCATTGGAGGCAGCTGGAAGCGGTTTATGGATCACAAAATGAGTTCGAGGACGTCACCATGTTGAAAGCAAAGCACACCACAGACGACACTACCATAAGACGAAGGAACGAACACAAGATATGCTGGAACGTGCGTTGTTCTCTAAGATGGTTCTTTCAAGTATTCAGGTAAGTATTTAAGTAATAAAAGAATGATATGTGATGATGAACATCGATAGCCCCCATTTCGTCAGGCATTTTTTTTAAGTATATAAGAGATATGGTGGACCAAATTCTTCATCATTTCCGTTCCTTTATTGCCAGCAGTCATTTGGTAAGTAACTGTTAGAAAACAGCTGTCCGGACTTCGATATGATTAACCAAGCGTCTTCTTTTCATTTTTTGTACTGTATAGCTTATGCTTGATAATATTCTTCTGAGTTATCAAATACACTTGGACTGAAACATTTACGGAAGGTTTTTTTCATTGGACGTTTATAGGTTTTCTGCTAAAACAAACTTCGGAACTCTAGGAGTGCCTTGTAGCATATCATACTTTCGGCTTCTACAGTATCATCTCATTCTCAGACTTCTTTCTAATGTTCTACCGAAATCTTGGAATTTTTGTCTGTTGATCGAGATTTCAGGAACAAGAGTTACACACTTGAAGAGCGTCAAAGATATTGTGAAAAACTATCTGCTCTTTCTTCGTATTTTTGTTGAGCAAACGCGAGGTGTTATTATTCTTTATTCACGAATGAGCTGACGTTTCGGCGGATTTCGCCTTCCTCAGAGCCGCTTTCTATGAGGTCTCCACTAAGTTATACATTATACTTCCATGTGATTTCTGTGCGGTTGGTCTCTACGTGACATACTTAGTGGAGACGTCATAGAAAGCGGCTCTGAGGAAGGCGAAATCCGCCGAAACGTCAGCTCATTCGTGAATAAAGAATAATAACACCTCACGTTTGCTCAACAAAAATACGAAGAAATACTTGATCAATGCCGAGGTTAATAGAAAGTCGGTCGTGGGAACTATCTGCTCTATCAACTGAACTGTTAACTAATGTTATTAGTCAACAATGCCTTTTCACTAAGTATTCTGCTGTGTTTCTTGTAAGAATGAAGGGTAAAAGCTCCTTAGATCTTTTTTTGAACTGTGGAAAATGTTCTAAGTAATGACACATGGTGGGATTCCATTTGCCGTTGACAGCCATGCCAAATTAGAATTATAGGCTTTGTTGAGATTACTAGGACCGTACCGAATGCGCTGTTTATTTTTCACTGGCCCAAATCTTCCACTTCTTCATCGTTTCTATTCTTCATCAACTTTAAACTAAAAAAATTCTACATGCAGTTGCTTTCCACTTGTTTTAGTCACCGCCAACAACGTCGTCACCTGATGGTAATGTGGACGAGGACTCCATCTCGTATCGTTCAATTTCCCTCGATGACTGTTCAGTATTGCCAGAATGGGATGATGAGGTGGTTGTTTTAAAACCACTCTTCACTTTTCAGTTTTCAACAGGTTACCACTGTTGATGGCTTTGTAACAGTTACTCGGCACCTTCATAGCCCAATTTAACTTGGGTTCCTCAATGTAATGTCCATTTTTTTCATTCTCTTGATACCACCCTCCGTGGAAGTGGGCTACTTCCTACTGACCCGTCTTCGATCTCTAAATCAGAAAGTACGTAGTAAATGATATATCCGTTTTCCTCCTTTTTTAAACGAAAATCTCCATTTTTTTGTCTTGCTAACTCCACAACATCAAAATAACTAAAGGAGTGAGTATAGCGAACGCAGTTTTCAACCTTCCAAAGCTTTGCCGCGCCATCATGGCTGAGAAGTGTTCCTGGGTGTGGGACTGCGATGCACATCGGGGGAACTCGTCTACCCAGCAGGGTCTCTCAAACAAAGAAGGAGTTCGGAATTCCCATCAGGAATCCTAGCTAAGAGTAAACCAATACCAGGATCCATCACCGCCTTAGTATCAAGGTCGCATAATGGCAAATTTCCCTCTGATCCGCAAGAGCTGCGACTGCGTATGCTGGTGAAGACCTGGGGCAGATTTTCACTAGGCTGACCTCGGGATTCCAGGGAACCACAATGGCTTAACCAGCAAATCACCGAAAAATGGTGTTTATGCTGGGGCCCGCACAACCAGTGGGGACGGGCCGTTCAAGTTGAAGTAAGTAAAATTTTCAACTAGAATGCTGTTTGATGCAAGAACAAGCCAGATTAGAGAGAGTTTCTAGCATATTTGCTGTGTGAATATTTTTTTGTGAGCTTGCCAACAACCATTCTTACAGCAGTGGGACTTCGGCGCATCGTTTTTAGCCGATCTAGACTCTTCACATGTGTGGAACGACACGTTGGAAAGACAGCACTTTGGACCTCTGAAGGACCTCCTCACTACCTCTGGTCAGAGGGCGGATGGGCATCGATTCGTGTATGAATCATCTTTTCGTCTGTCGTGTTGTACATGCTCTTTGAAAATAAATAAGACATTAAAAAAGCAAATAAAACATTGCCCGAGAAGAAGAGGAATGCCGGGGCATTTGTGCCAGTATACTTGAAATAGGCTCAGTGTATAACGGAGGCCCAGAGGTCATTGTGGAGTCGTTCTTGATCAGTTAGTTAATTTAATGACCTATGGTTTCGCTTAGTGTGTCATCGACAGTGTGTCATAAAATAAAAATTGTACAACTTTCGAATATATATCGATTTTATTTGGGGTTGTCGTAGACCTAGGGGAACACTTTCATTCTTATTCTTTTTCTCCTGCTCAGTTTAGCGTCATATTTTCGTGTTGTTTAGATCCATAGCCCTCGTGCATCCGACGTGGTGCGACAAATGTGGCGACTTCATCTGGGGCCTGTTGAAGCAAGCTTACAAATGCCAGAGTGAGCACCCTTCCATATTCATCAATGTCTTATCCATAGTTTTGTTCAAAGGACTCATAGTCCGCAGGATAAGAGGTTTTATTGATCCTTCGTGTTCCATTTATGAGTTCGATGAGGGAATAAATGTCCACTTCGTATTCGAAACCAGTTTTATGGACCAGCCGGTTAAAAATCCATCTTTATTTTTTGCGTAATATTTTGCTGGCCGTGCAGAGATAGAGGTCTTAATTGGTTGAATATGTTTGCTACTGCTATCCTCATTTTACTAATTTACGCTCTGCATTATCAGAGTCATCAGAGGGGCGATCAATTTTTGAAGCGAACGGTGTGTTATAGACACAGATGGATCGTGAGGATGTTAAGGAATTCATAAATTGATGATTACTGCTTCGATTATTTTTTTACAGTTTCAATTGACGTTTTATAGACTGCAACTACACTTGCCACAATCGATGCAAGGAGCTTGTGACTCTGGATTGTCGATCGGCTGGCTCTTCGCTAAATTCAGACGAATTTCCATCAATTTATCCGAAACTTCTGGATGGGACTTTGGGTACAATCCCGAAGGAGCTTCATCTGCCGCCTATACCCTTGTACTCATTCTTTGAAGACTCCGATAAGGAAAATGACACAAGTGTTGAGGTTGGTCCAATAAGCTTTCAGGTTTTCGTAAGGTTAGAAAAAAATCCATGTAAAATCTAGAAACCAGTGTTTCCTGGACTTGAAGCGCTTGGCTTCAGCTTTTCTGTGGTAAGAGCTGAGTAAAGAAACACACGAGGTGCGAAACAGCACGAAGCTCTTCGCCATTTGTCAGAACTTCTTAGGTTTCGCTGCTTGTACTGCTCAAAGAAAGAATTGTGCGGCTTCTGAGGTATGGAAAGTGTGTTTTCTAACCATCTTGTTCCACTATTGTTTTCAGAATCCACTTTTCTCTCCGTTAAAATCACTCCGAATACAACATCCATCTGCCGTAAGCGGCTTTGTTGTCGACCAGCAGCAACCAGAACCCGTTACTGAACAGGTGTGGCTCTCGTCTCCTTTATTTTTTTTTACATAAAAAACTAAATATAGATCAAGAAACGGTGTTATCCGTTCATCACTAGGATTTCTAAACTTCAATCTCTCCCTAGTAGTGTTGACGTTTTTACCGACAGTTTTTATTACGTTATAACAAAGTAGTTTTGAATAATCTTAACCTTTTTATTTACTGCCTATTCTTTTTAACGGCAAGGTATTTTGCGAAATATAACTACTATAATGCTGAGATATTTGCAAAACACCGGACCGCAGGTGTCTGCAGTGGGGAACGAACGCGCTATTGTCCTTTCCGAGGAGGAAGGACCCGCATGGTGTGGTGGTGAACGCGTTACTCCCCGGAAAGGACAATCGCGCGTTCGTTCCCCACCGCAGACACCTGCGGTCCGGTGTTTTGCAAATATCTCAGCATTATAGCAGTTTTGAATAATTCTTATTCGAAAGTCTTCTCAAAGATTGAAACTGGAACAAAAAACCGGTGAAAGAAGAAAAGAATATGGTACATCTGAATGTGGGATCCAGAAATGTTTTTGTTCCATAATTCGCTGTTATCATGAGAAGCGCACACGAGGTTGTTATTATATGCTGTTCCTGTATTATTATATACTATTCAATATTATACACATAGTGGTTGTATTTTACACCATGCCCTGCCATGAAAATTAGTGATATGCAGTAAATAAGAGTTAACATTGTGGTTTCGACTACGGATTTAGCTTAACTGGGTTTAATGCCGATTTGTGCTCCTCTAATGATTCTCGTTGGCGAGTGATTGCTGATGGCATTGTTAAGTAGAAAACTGGCTGAAAGAAAGGCAAGGGCCGCAGTTGTGCAGTGTGTAACACGTGAACCCCCCTCCCAGGAAAAGGAAATCGCGGCTTGGAATCTGGCCTAGGGTCTGAGTTAACAAATATCTCAGCATCATTGTGGTTGTGGTATGTTTGCATCATACCCTACTATGAGAGATAGGCAGTAAATGAAAAATTGAACACACTGTTATACATATATTGTTATATTATTATTAAATACAATTTATTCACAACACTTAACGTTTCGGCCAATTTCACCTTCTTCAGAGCGTGGAAAGGTTAAGTCAGCTGCATTCTGGACAGCGAAGTATCTCCATAACCCCAACAGAATAGCTCAGATTTCTAATTTTCAATCGTATAGGAAATAAAACAGCTTCTAAGCTCACTCACCGTTTTCTGCGAGTTTTCCACTGTGTATTCCACTTGAAGACTAATCGCTGCAGAGTTCACGTAGTTGGGTAATACGCCTCTCCTAGTTCGAAATATCAGTGTGAGATATCGTGTAAAACCATGTGGGACAACCAGGCTTTCCTCTGTGCGATTCATTTTTGGTTTCTTGGGATTTATCCAAATGCAAGGCGCGTGTGGCGCAGTGGTTGGAGGCGCCACTGCGACACACGCGTGAAATCCATCCCAGCGCACATGGCCCACCAAGCCTTCCATCTCCCGGGGTCGGCGAATTGGTACCAGACTTGTCTGGGAGGATAGCAGCACTGGTTCGATACATCGGTAGGCCACCGCGAGTCATTGTAAAGGCCAGATATGCGTTCAATCACCTCCAACGATGCTTAGTGAAGTCCAATGCATGGCGAATCCCTCAGGGATTAATCAACGCTTAGAGCTTTATCCTTTTTTATCATCCGTTTTTTATCCAAATTGCTTCCAGGGTTTTATGCGCTCAAGTTTTAGATTCTTATGCAAGAATGGTAACCTCCACTTCGAAATCTTCTCCGTTATGTGCGTGTGTCCTATGAGCGTCTAGTGGAATGTTTTGTTTGATTTTAAGTTTCTGAACTAAGTGTTCTTTTAAAAGGACGCGGAATGGTCTGTCCTTTTCTCCAACATATTCGTTGCGACTCGCTTTACAAGGAATCGGGTGCATTCACGTAATCTCTCCCTACCGTCATGGCAAATAGCACATTTTCGTGTTATGCACAAACGGTCATACAAGCAGTTACGATTTAGCTAGCGTTTTAGAGTGTTCGAGAGTATTTCAATCACTGTTACCGAAGTTTCTGGGCTCACCCTTTCTAAACTACGTTTTATAGCTGCACGTATTTCATTTGAAATGAAGGGCGAGATAAACGGGACCTTATTTTCGCTAGAATTATTCTTTGGAGGCGTGAGTTTTCCTCTACACCTATACAGAGGAGCCTTACTTTCGTAACCAATGAAAATGGCTATTTGCCGCGCCAATTTCGAGGATTCTTCTCACTGCTGTTTTCCTGTGCGCACGCTGGTGGCTGTTCGAAACATGTTTCTTATAAGCGCTCTTTTGTGTGTGAGGGATGAGAGGAGAGAGAATGGACCAATATGCTTTTGTTATTTGGCTTTGCTTACTATTTGATAATGTAGCCGTTTTCGGATGAGTTAATTTGAGCTTTCAAAAATGAAAGCCATTTTTTTACTCAAAAGACTAACTTCCTATCAACCTCGGCGTAAATAATCGATATATGCATGCATATATATATATATATATCGTAACAACTCCCAAGATCGACTTTCTATTAATCTCGGCATTGAATTATAAATCTGTCGTTTTCTTCCTCAGCAATCGTGAGGTTGTTAAATACGTTTGCTTAACCATGCGATTGCTGAGAAAGAAAACGACAGATATATATATATTCTTGTGAACTGCCCTTATGGAGCTGACGTGAGGTTGGTATCTGTTGTTGTTGCTGTTGTTGTTCGATGGCTCACATTTCGGCGATTTCGCCTTCCTCAAAATCTGGACTTATTCTAAATAAAAGACGATCTAACGTAAACTCGAACGCCATTTTCTTTGCAAAACTATACTCACCTTGCTGTTGCATGTGGAGACTACCCTCGTTGTTTACGTGGGACGACAGGCGAGACAAACCCAGGTTAGGAGATCAAGTTGAAATAAGGCGCCAGCTCACGTGTGGTAGTTTTGACTCAAATGCAACAACAAGGCTTCGTGCCAGTCGTTATCCCATTGTCAACCCTTTTATTTTTATCTAATAATTTCTGAACCTTCTGAAGATTGAGCAGTTTAGGCACTCCTTTAAGAGGATCATCAACTGTTAAACCGTGAAATCATACATGTCTATTGCTCCTTCGTGTCGCATGAGGAGTTCGAGGACGGCTTGCATAGCGGGGTCATTCGACACGTTTGTGTAAAGGGCGGTAACGTCAAGCTACTCCTTCATGAACGTGTTGTTAGGACGCGCGTTACGTAGGCAATCCAGGAACATCTGGGCGATTGTAAGATGGGATGGAATCTGTTTCAACAGCTGGATTAGTACTTTAGTTAAAGACCATCTCATTCTGTCCGTTGACGTGTCTATACAGCTGATGATGAATACTGATAGATCGGTTGACGCAAGGTCATCATCAGTGGATGTAAACCTACGTAGTTTAATAAGTACGAAATGTGACATGATGTTAGTTCAAGTTTTAGATTCAGAGATAAGTCATGGGTTTAAACCAGCCATTTCTGCCACCTCCAGTCAGTCATCGTTCAGTTTTCAGTGTTGACTTTTTAATTCCTTTTCAATGGTAGACGATAATGAAAAACATCTTCAAGATGCTTTCCCATCACCATCAACATTTAATTGATGAAAAATTACCACAAACTCTCTACCAATATCACTAACGGATAGGCTCGTGTTTAAGGAACGGTTGAGGGAACGTGGGTTGTGGTAATACCCCTACTTCTTGTTGTTCACCCTTATTTAGTGCTTTAACTCTAGCTTTTTTACGGAATTATCTTGAAGTCTTGAAGTTCATGCAAACTACATGCGATCCTACAAAAGAATAGAGACCCTTCGAAATGGGTTCAAATGGTGAAAAAGTAGGGCTGTATTCTAACAGCGAGCGCACCCCGTCAGGCAGAGGTGTGCCCCCAATAGCAGGTAAGCCTTGAGTCTTTTGGCTCATTATTAACCGTAATGTGACTCGTTTGATCAAGATTAACGGTATTTGCATACCTTTTTGAGGTCGTTTTATGCGGTTTACTTAAAGTCTTCGATTTTTCTCCGTAAAGTTACTTTAGCTTTAGCTTCTGCTTCATTATGATTGTCGACCACATTCATCGAAAATATATAAGGTGTTAGAAATACACAGTGTGGCGAATGCTTTCCTTTCGTCCAATTCTGTTCACAGGCCATGTCAAGTACAGAATATCTCAGGAGTTCTGACCTACGGTCATTGGCCACAGATGATTCTATTTTCTGTTTTTTCTCACATTGTTATTTTCCAATACAATGACCATCAATGATTTAGAGCTTACGCGTTGTGGAGGTATATGTGAAAGAGGACACGCCGTTCGAGTGGTCCCCAGCATATAAAGATGACCAACTGGCGAGGAGCATTGACGAGTACAATAGTGCTAGCAATGGTCTGAACATGAAAATGGTCGGTTTCATCTGCTGTTGCACATTGACCGCTTACATCTAGCATCTATTCAAATAATCTATCCTTTATGGCTGTTAGGGAATAAAGAATGAACTGTATATATACTTAGCCTATAGTAATTGTGGTAATTTCTTGACTTATCAAGTCCCTGTTTTAATCAATCCACTCTATGTATTCGAGGGCTCCTCTTACCACTGCGCCACATCTCTCTTTTCCTGACTGTTAATTTTAAAAAACTGCTTCATCTGCTTGTTAGCACAAAAATTTGGTTTTGTAAGCAATGTATAGTGCCAAGTCATACATTAGTATCAAACAACCTTCACTGAGTTCACCTCACCACACATCGATTAGCAAGATCGCAGGTTGTACAAGTTAATATCTTCGTATAGAATCGTTAACTTTTCCTTGTTATTGTATATTCATAAATGTTTTCTTAGATCTTTCAGCACCGTCTTTGAATTGCTTCCAACTGGAAGCACTTGCCTTTGTCCACATCTACCTTTTCCATCATCGCGAAATTCTATTAAAACAACCGTCGCAGTACGCTTAATCATGAGCAGTCAAAACGGGATACTCAGAAGAGACCTCCATATTTATTGCTGATAGATTTGCCATTTTATTTGACGAAGTTTAAATAGATTCTTATTGTGACAGCAATTTCCTTCCATAGAAGGCGAATACCGTCTTTAGCACGTGTTTTGATTTCATGTAGTTCAGAAGAGATTAGGAAGAATGAGCGTTTACAGCACGACGATGGCGAAACATTCTCTGGATACATCCAAGTTCATATGAATCTGAGTCGGCCCATTAGTGTGGTTGCTGGTGAAAAACCTCCTAGTGTCTATGACGTCATGAATACTGGTTAGTTGTTAAGACAACTTCTTTTGTTTTTCAAGTTTATATATTTTGTGCGAAAAGTTGTTGAGCATATATTCGGTTCTATTTTTTGGTTCTGTTTTGCTTCATGTGCGGTGTACTCAGTGTATGTTCGACGACATGCGTGAATGCTCACCAAGTACTCTTGTTTGAAGCTAGTTAGCACGCCAAGTGTGCTCTAGGCTGCGACGTGACGTTTTTTTTGTTCAGTTTAACCCAATTTTTTTAAACAAAAAAGCCAAAAACCCAAAAATTTTGATGTCTGCCGCTTACTGTAACGTATTCTCTTTATGAAAGCTGTTGAAATGACACATTTTTCGATCAGGATGGAGACTTTAATTTAAGCTTTTAATCAAGAAATGTTTAGTCAGTGGTGCTTCGATTTCTACTCGTCCAATATGGAATCTCCTGTTAGTAAACCCAGTTCCACTCACTGTACTGGACGAACTGAAAAACGCTGCTAAGGATTCATAGTCGAATTTGAATTTCCTCGCCTTCATTGCTCGTTTTATATTTGGTTATTTCTGTCTTTTCATGTTATTATCTCGATTCTGCCATCAGTGGTATTATTGGATAAGACATATGAAAAAAAAGTTACTTACGTGGATCCTTAGGCGGCCCTCGGTCAAGAGTCTTGAATGCGTTGGCCTGTTTTCCATCCGTTTCGTTTCCTAGCGACTGTCGTTCATGATACGAGTCACGATCTGTTACGAGTGTAATGAGGCTACGAAAACAACTAGTTGATGTGTACGTCTGCCCACAAATAGATAGGCGACTTGGAAGCTCTTTCGTCTTTGTGAAACTCTATACTGCTCAGTCGATGACCCTTCTTGCTAAACGGTTCGATGTGTTTTCTCTGCATCTCAGTAACGACGTGCTTTTTGATGTTCAGGAATCGGTCAGCGATTCGTACACTATTGAGGTTATAATAAGGTCGTCATGCCATGAATTCACTTACTCTTAGTCAGATATTTAATAAAAAATATTTGTTAAAGAAATGAAATCACCTCGAGCGGCTAGTTTTCTTCCCACGCTGGCTTTTCTCAGTCGACTCGATCTGTTCTCTAGTGGCGTTTCATTCAAATTTATAGGTGGTTTCAAGCGGTCCAGCCGGTTCTCACTGTGATAGCGAACTAACTGAAAGCCGACTTATCATGTTTGCTGTACAAAAGGCTGCTAAAGGATAACAAAATAAAAGATAAAGCTATCGGCGTCTAAAATTATCTTTAAGTTTGTACCTTAAACTTAGGAAGCATCCATTCATGGACATTTTACGGAAATCTTTCAGGATAGAACGGACACTGTCATCAGTGCTTGTTTTGAAGAAATTGTTCGTGCGATTTCCGCACATGTAACTGATATTTTGGTGAAACGACTAGTCTAGAGGAAGCATGTGCTGGCATACAGGAAGGAAAAAAGTATCAAGAGCACTGCGAAAGCATACCGATGAAACGAGAACTTCCACCTGAGAGACAAGTAAGAGGGAAATGATCCTTTACAAATAGTATTTTGTTTAGAAAAAAACGGGTAACGTTCTGTTGTGCTTAAATTGTTGCGTAATTCAATCAGGTGGCAAGAGATAAGAGGATAAAGGGAAGAAGCTCTCGGCGTTGATCAATCGCTGAGAGATGTGCCATGCATTCGACTTCATTAGTCATTGTAGGAGGTGATTGAATGCATATCAGGTCTTTACAATGACTCGTGTGGGCTACCGATGTATCGAGCCAGTGCTGCTATCCTCTTAGACAAGTGTGGTACCAATTTTCGTATCTCGGAGGTGTGGAAGGCTTAGTGGTCCATGGGTGAGAGGACCGATTCCACGTGTGTATTGCAGGACGCCTCCAACTACTGCGCCACACGCGTAGAAAAAGTTGCTAAAGCTTTCGTAATTGTGATCGGTGGAAATAATGGCATCGAGATTTGAATCATTCAGTTCGTTTTGGAAATGAGCAGAGAAGTCTGTGATGTCCACAATGAGGAGCCGCGTTGCGCACATTGCGACTTTTGAGATAACAACAAAAGTTAAAGTAGATCAAAATTTGTTCTAAATATGATGGTCTCAAAGATTTTTAGCTTCATAGCCTTTGTCTTACGTAAATAAGCTGGGAATTAGTAGGGCTTACTGTGTCGTGTCGAACTTGGTGGCTTGTTCGTTTCAGTGGTTGTGCATACCGTGGTGCTGAATTCACTCAATCATTTTTAACTTTCTTAACTCTCATATAACTTTCAGAAGAGCTTTTAGTTTTCATATAGAGAAGGATTTCGTAAATCTAAGCTATGCTGCGACTCATTGGTGGCGCAAGGGTAATAGGAGGACAAAAATTGGCTTTTCTTGGATGTTGTCATTTGAAAGTTCGTTGATTTATGGTTTTCATTATATCTGTACTATAGCGCGCGAAGGAAGTGTTATTATCGTTTTCTTGAAATATCTCAGTTCCACTTTTTTTTAGTTTATATTTAGATGGTAGTGCCATTTGGGTTAAAACCAGCCGTAACGAAAGGTATATCTGAACCAGAAATTGTTTCATCGAAAACTCTCAATTAGTAAAACTACGGACTATGGGTGTCTGGGAGTGAGGATCGAAAACGCTATTACTCCTTCCGGGGCTAACGCCTTCACCACCAGACCATGCGAGCTCTTCGTACAGCCTGTCTCTCGGTTTGTTTTTTCACCCCTTCCCCTGATTTCACATAGTACCCTGCCGTGAAAAATTATAGTAGGCAACAAATAAAAGGTTAACAGTCTGATTGGTTATCGACTATTAGTTTCTGAGTTGGTAATTGTTTTTCCTTCTTGATCGAACAGCTGCTCATTGTTGTACAATATTTGCTTGATTTTGGCCATTTTTTTAAGCATATTCGCTCATATTCTGAAGCAGCATGTGAAGTAGAATAGCGGTAGGATGTGGAACATAACTGTGATAACGTACTGGTCTAATGTTCCCTTAACTCCGGATCGAAGCTCTAAAGCTCTCTGTTGACGTACTTGGAGGTGGCAGTGTTTTCACTCAAGACCGCGAAACATTGTAAGGCAGCGTATTTCCTAGTCGCTTCTACGGCTATCTTTTTATAGTCTCACATAAGATATCCGTCACAATGAAAGCAGGAGTGATCGGAGTTCAGGTGAAGTCTGCATAATTTCCGCTATGGAATGTGGAGACGAACATATCATCATACGGGAAAAGCACTTCATTTGCGTTTGACTGACATGTCGGTTCAAAAAAGTCCGTCGAAGAGAATTTCAAAGCGTCCAGAGCGTACGTATTTGGGAAAGAAAGAAGGAAAAAGAGAGAGAAAGAGCGAAAAGAAGAAAGGGAACGGTAGAGAAATATAATTACGATTTGAAAATGTTGACTAGGATCTCAACAGAGAAGCAAAAGCGCTTTTTCAGTCATTATGACTCTTCCTTTCCTTTCAAAGCTCTATACGTCGAGATATCAGCCAAAATCAAAAATGATATACGAAAATTTTTACAAAAGATATGAAATCTTATTCTTTTTCCAACGATTTACTTCAGTCTAAGGTATTTTCCTACGTGTTTATGCCAGATCCAGTGCTTATATTGCAATTTGTGAGGTTGTGACTTGTACGACCATTTCCACCCTAGGAAATTCCTGCCAAGATGCTGACAAAAGGTACTGTATTACTTGTGGGTCTTCGTTCCCTTGTCTCTTGCCGGCGTATAGCTTTCGAGGAATTGAGCTATGAGAACACCATGGGGTCTAGAACGGGAAAGGAGAGCAACCGAAAAAGGATGTTTGGTGGAAAAATACCTACTTATCTACTGAAGCGAGGATTACTGGTACCATTGTTTCTTTCGAATCAGTGCAACATCGACGCCGACAACTAGCAGCAAAAGAAAAGTAAAAACGACGCACCGAGTCGGGCTTCTATGTTTTACATGTTCTCTAACAAAATGGAACACTCTTATGCAGAAATTTGAACCCTTCATCACTTAAATAGTATCGTGGAACAAACCATGATCGACTACTCGTCCGGAGGCTCGAATAGTAGGGCGATTGACAGGACTTTGCGGCAGTGATACTGCAGCGCAGGGAAGTGATTGTGAAGTCGTAAGCTATAAAGACGTTTTAAACTTATCGACTAATTTACTGTTTACATTTTCAGATAAGTAGAGCTGTTGGTTTCCTTGTAGACATAGTTTTAAAAAGCGGTGTATGTAAGGTTAACGGGCGACCAGTGATAGATGCTAGGACAAAGGACGGCGTTCTCTACCAAATTCTATACTGTTGGCACAAACCTTTTGTCTAAAATGCCAGTCCTAACTGAAAATTTTCGGATAGTATCCGTTGCTGCGTATGGTGCAGTGGTCGGAGGCGCCCTGCAACACATACGTGGAATCGATCCCTGCGCCCCTGGGCCAACAAGCCTTCTATCCTTCCGGGGTCGGCAAATTGGTACCGGACTTGTGTAGAAGGATAGGAGCACTGGCTCAATGCATCGGTAGGTCTCCGCGAGTTATTGTAAAGGCCAGATATGCATTCAATCATCTCCAAACGATGCTTAATGTAGTCGAATGCGTGGCGCATCTCTCAACGATTGATCAACGCCGAGAGCTTCCTCCTTTTGTCCTTATAACCCTTGCCACCTGATTGAATTACGCAACAATCTAAGTACGACAGAACGTTATCCAAGTTTTTTTTCTAAACAAAATACTATTTGTAAAGGATCATTTCCCTCTTACTTGTCTCTCAGGTGGAAGTTCTCGTTTCATCGGCATGCTTTCGCAGTGCTCTTGATACTTTTTTCTTTCCTGTATGCCAGCACATGCTTCCTCTAGACCTAGTCGTTTCACCAAAATATCAGTTACATGTGCGGAAATCGCACGAGCAATTTCTTCAAAACAAGCACTGATGACAGTGTCCGTTCTATCCTGAAAGATTTCCGTGAAATGTCCATGAACGGATGCTTCCTAAGTTTAAGGTACAAACTCAAAGATAATTTTAAGCACTTGATATTTTGGGGGACTTCACTGTTTGCAATAACATCTGGAACGGTTGTTCTACATCGCATTGTTAGAAACTCTGTGTGTTGTCGTAGAAGTTCTTCACACTTCCCTAATTTGATCTTACTTATAGTGCTGAGCTACACGTGTAATGTATCTCTTCTTCGATTTGTTTCAGTGCCTTGCTTCTGTTGCATGAAAGTGTTTGAGTTTCTGTATAAGTTCATCTACAACTTGAGGGTCAGTCATTATATCAGTGAGAAGTTTAATGCTGGTTGAGCATTGGTTTTCCTGGAATCTCGAGATAATCGTGCCGAAGTGTACCTAGGTCGAAGTGACCATGGATGGTTGCGGGTCCTCGTGAATTAGAAGGAGATTTCCAATGTTAACCTTTTAATCTTAACCTTCCATTTACTGCCTACCCTTTCTAGTGGCAGGATATATTGCGGAATATACCTTCAATAATGCTGAGATATTTGCGAAGCTCAGGATCGCAAGTGACTGCGGTGAGGAATGAACGCGCCATTGTCCTTTCCGGGGAGTAACGCGTTCGTTCCCCACCGCAGACACCAGCTGTCCGGAGTTTTGCAGATATCTCAGCATTATTGAAGTTAACCTTTTATTTGCTGCCTATTATAATTTTTCACGGCAGGGTATTATTATGTGTGATACCAGCACAATGGTGCTGAGATATTTGCAAAGCTCCGGACCGCAAATGTCTACGGCGAGGGAGCGAACACGCTGTTCTCCTTTCTGGGGCTAACGCGTTCACCATGCGTGTCCTTCGTTTCACCTTTCTCTCAGCAAGTTTTCTATCTACCAGTGCCATCGGCAATCGCCCGTCAACGGGATTGATCGAATCAAAATTGATCAGAACCCTAATCGGCAATGAACCCAGTTAAGCTAAAGCTTTAGTCGAAATCACAATGTTAGCTTTTTATTTACTTTTAAATACAGTTGCGGTCCGGAGTTTTGTAAATATCTCAACACCGTTGTAATTAAAGAGATTCACTGCAATTCTTACAGGCTTCCAGGGACTCCAGCTACGCTTGTGCCGAACCAATAGCGTCATGTAAAACTGGAAAGCAATTTAGTTTTTTCAAATTCCAAGTTTATTGGAACGTAACAACGATACTTGAGGACTTGAATTCGTAATTAGACCATTTTATTGCCTACGTAAGGTCACAATCTTGATATTTACGCGGCGATTTGAAACATTAGAAAAGAACAATAACCACCTCCGTTTCTTTGTAATGAATCGAACAGCTTGGCTGTAATAATATCAATGCTTTAGTACCACATCCATTTGGAACTTCCGTTTTTTCATGACAGAATGTACTCAACAACAACTACATGCTAAGAATTGGGAGTCCAGTTTTGATTGATTGCTGTTGGCATTGGTAGATAGAGAACTAAATGGAAGGCCAAACGAAGGATCCGCATGGTGTGGTGGTGAATTCGTTATTCCCTGGAAAAGATAGTAGCGTGTTCGATCTCCACCGCAGACACCCACGGTTCGGAGTTTTGTAAACATTTCAGCCTCAGTGTAGGCATCCAGTATTCTGGGACCTACCAGTCATTTCCTCTTTCGTTGCACGTAGAACAGGTTTGGTGAAAGAAAAAGTGGGACAGTGCGCTTATATGCCAATTACTGTGCTTCAATCTAATCTTCGCAAGCATCCCACTGATTCACTAAGCTGTTGATGTAGCTGTCGAAAACAATTGTGTATATACTGCGTTATTTAGTTATCTGTTGGTAGAGGATGAACCAGTAGTATCCGTCGGCCTTCATGTGTAATGTTCCTTGCCACTCTTTCAGTTCCTTCATTGGCCCAAATATGTGCCTGCAATGGAAATCTTCGTTATTTAACGTAATCATAGAACGAGCTAATTATTTTCGAGGAAGACAGAGGTGTCTTTATTACATCAGAAACCAGAATTGTTTAGAGTGAACTCAATGGTAAGGATACGTACGTATACATATCTGCTCCCCAATGTATTGAGCTCATAAAGAAGTTAGTGCTTTAGAATAAAGAATCCACAGAAATGTTTTGTTTTGGAGGGTTGCAACAATAACCATCGATTTTTGTTTGTAAATTCAATTCCTTCATAAAAAATAATGAAGTTGCTGCAAAGTCGAATGAGAGCGTCGATTCCGAATAATATTCTATAAATGGATTTTGCTCTCTGTGCAACACTAGTTGAATAGAATACAATAAATTGTGGCTTAAACAGTGACGTAGTGGAAATGCGATTCTTCTGAAGAAAGCTCAGGTTAATCAGATGATCATCAGGTTATAAATGAGCACCATGGCACGGTTAAAGTTGAAAATTTGCGTCTTAGGGTTAAAGAATTGACCATGTTGTTGATGAAAACTAAAATCTCCAACACTGTACCACGTAGTCTCTATTTCATTCATCTTTAGATAGAGCAATAGTTGAAAAGCATACCTCCTTCAACAAGTCGCTAAGAACTGTGTCTAAGCTGCCTCGTCGGTTCATCTTGCGTTCAGTTTTTTTTTCTTTTAAGAGAGAGAAAGACACAAAGGTTACTGAGAAGAAAAGGCCGGTGAGCTTTCAGGCTAAGCAGATACAGCTACGCACCTGCAGAATAGCAAATGGAATGAATTGAAATGGTGACGTGGATTTGATTATCACCTGATGTTTTCATTGCAGGAAAGTCGACAACATCGGTGCGTACCATCACCTCGTTTTTCCTCCCCCGTAACACAGTCAAGACGATCAACATCGACAGCAGGATGACGACCAGGTATGACAGAATGCGGGACTGGTTCTAATTAAGCGAATAAGGTGACGATAAAATTACTGGAGTAGAGGCGAAGTGGTTTCGAAAGTAACGTTAATCACATGGGATGTGCACCTAGACTTGGTTGCTGTAGGTTGCGATTTGATATCGTTGATCTGAATTTATGACTGTTTTTCTTGGATTTGAGATTGTTTTCTTTTTTTCCAGCATCTTTGAAGTTATATTTCGCAATATACCCTGCCATTAAAAAGAGTAGGTAGTAAATAAAACGGGTTTTTTTTTTGTTGTACAAGTGGAACTCGATTCTTGGATAGGTGAATATTACGTGTTACAAATTCCGCCAGGTTTCATAAGTGGTTTTGGGGGTGGGGGGTTAGAAGATGGACTACTAGGGATATATGTGTTTTATTTATCCTGCGTGAAATTACAGTGTATGCGCAAAATTTCAGCACTTCACACAATTGGGTTGGCGGGAAATTATTGTGATGCATTGTTTTTTTTTATTTCAATCGATTTTTGGTCTATCTGTGGTATACAAGTAGGCATGTTTGGTTGAACATAAATTAGCAAAAAACGGTGTAAACAACACTCGGTTCGGTTGGTAATCAACTGCGAGTGTAGGGATCCGGTACAGAATTTCAGTGCCGATTACGACTGCTACAGAATCTGATGAGCACCTGGTCTAAACTACGCTTGAATCCGTGTACGCATTCTGTTGCTCACATTCGCACGAGCACATGCTCACTGCCATGTAATGATGACTTAATGGTCCGCCTCGGTTCACAAACACGAGTTGCATTGCCCAAGTGTCGGTCTGCAAGTCGCTTGTATTGTATCCGCTGCATGGATTGGACCTTTGCAAATTCTACAAACGCTGGACTTCTGATTGTCATATGAAGAACAGTTGTTAATGCAACCAGCATCAAATCCACACTCCCACAATGTTCTGTCCTGTTTGTGGAACTAACGGAGCATACTGCACTGTGAATGAGCACCTCGCTAACCTCGGGGACCTTAGTTTTGAATTCACGTAGCTTGTCGACTCGCACTCACCGAAGTTATGGGTGATATGTTTCTATAATTGACAACTGGGCTAAATTAATTCATCTTCATGGAACCTTACTGAAATAGGTTTGAAAAATAAAACAAACTTGCAAGCAGCGCATTAATTTTCCCCAAACAGATGAAGGTGGATATTTCTGCGGAGTTACTGTTTTTCACGGTTTTTCTACTGTGAAGATAAAGTCGTCATTTTAGAAAAACAATTTTAAAAAATCCGACAGAAGTGCTTTATTAGCACTCTTACTATTAGTAGATGTTATTTTTATGGAAGGAGATATTTGAAAAGAATTTTTTTAGATCTCTTTATATATTACAAATGCCATTTCTTCGATTTTTTGTTTTAAAATTTTCACAAAAGAATTTCGAAATTTCTTCGTTTTGGAATCTGCTGCTCTCAGGCAGATGATTGTGACTCTCCTGCGTAAGTTCCGAGTGGCCGACAATCCGCGTAAATTTGCTCTCTATGAATGTTCTCAGGAGAATGATGAAGAAACATGCACGTTGTTAAGTGAGTTTCTTTTCATATCAGAGATAACAGGGCGTGTGTGGCGCAGTTGTCAGAGGTGCCAATCAATACACTTGGGATCGATCCCGCCCCACAGGCTCGAGCTCGAGCTAGTAGCACTGGCTCGATAAATCGGTACGCCACCGCAAGTCATTGTAAAGTCCAGTTGTGTATTAAATCGCCTTCAACGATTTTTGATGAAGTCGAATGCATAGTGCATCTCTCAGGGATTCATCAACGCCGAGAACTTTTTAGATTTTATCAGAGGTAACAGCACATTATTGGGGATTTCGGAAATGAAACGTGGTCATAGAGATAAAAAAGGTGGACACGAACGCCTAGGCGTATTAGTTTGTCTATGGCTTCTTTGAGAAGATGTGGAAACTAAATTCTGCTCTCCATCTTCTGTTAAGCTCATCGTCCAAGTCTTCAATGTTTGTAGAAGGTCCTAAAAGTAAGGTTTTATGGCTTTTATGGTTAATAATTTGTGCTGTTAACTTTCCTTCACCACAAAAAGAACGTGGGAATTTTTCATGAAGTGAAGGCACTAAAAAAATTTGGTTAACCTTTAAAACCTAGTTGAAGTGAATTTGATGGCTGTTGTGAAGCACCGAGAGGAACTCCGGTAAGTATCTGCTGATAAATAACCTTTCCATTTGGACCGATTAAGATAAAATTCGTCGATGTTGTTATTATCTTGCTCTGCAAATGAAGTCTCAGAATCAGAAGCTTGATTATGATGTTGAGCGAGTGCCGGGATTCCCTGGATGTATGCTTACATCCCACGGATTTCCCTCATGAAGGATCTCGAGCCGGTTAGCCGCCAGGCTACGTGGCGCGTCCCCAGGTGGCGGATAGGGGGTTAATCGCGGACCAAAAGCGATCTTTGATTCCCTAAGATGCAGGTGGATCTAGAGGATGGACTCCCTATTTCTGTTGCGCTGATTTGGCACATACTTTCTGTATTTACTAGGCGTATTCATGCATGTGTGTTTGGGTGCGTTCTTGCTTATGCGGATTGTATTCTACGAGTCAATTCGTCTAAAAGCCTGCAATCAAGAGAATGGGGAGTATATCGGAGGCGGTTAGGAGTCGCCTCCAACAAATAAACTCCATCTCCACTTTGGGAGAGCTTGGCAAGCTACCCGTGAGTATACCCAGCCCCACGTTCAGAGCCCAGCATGCTATACGTGGGTATCAAAAATGCTAAACACAGTAAAAAAAAAAACGGGCTTCACTTTCCTGACCCAGAAAGAGCCTCCAATTTCGCAGCGTTGGATAGAACGAGTACGGAGAAGCTGCTAAAATCTCAGGGCCAATGGAGCTGTCTGGATGTCAAAGAACTATGGTGACGATCTGTACCTACAATGCACGCACGCTTGCATCCGAGTCCTCGATAGAAGACTTGTTCATGCAAGCAAGAGGAATAAAGTACGACGTCATCGGCCTGGCCGAGACGAGAAGACGCCAGCCTTTCAGCGCCGTCTATGACACCGGAGAAAAACTGTTCCTCGGAACGTGCGACAGTAGAGTCGGGGGCGTCGGCGTTCTCGTCAACACGAGTTTGTCCATGAACATCGATTCATTCGAACAACTTACAACCCAAATCGGACGTTTACGATTAAAAAAACGTGGATCAATTCCGACTTTGACAATCTTCGTCGTTTATGCGCGGATATCAAACTATGACGAAGAAGAACTCGAAGCGTTCTATATGGACTTGGAGAAGTTCTACAGAGAAGACCACACATTCTTCAAGGTCAGCATTGGAGATTTCAACGCCAAGAATGGAGCAAGAAGAACGTCTGAAGGATGTCACATTGAGACCCACAGATTAGAATGGAACGAACAGGGTGAGCGGCTGTCTGAGTTTATCATGGCGACAAAGACAATCCATGGTAACTCGCAATTCCAGAAGCCACACCCTCAGCGCTGGACGTCGGAGTCTCCCAATGGAGAGTACCATAACGAATTAGACCAAATCATAGTAAATAAGCGGTTTTACCTAACCGATGTCGCTGTTGTCGCAAAATTCCAAACGGGATCAGACCATCGTCTCCTTCGTGTAAGATTCTATTTCTCGCGGAGAGAAGAAAAAGCCGCCGAATTCAAAAACTGAAGTCTCAGAACCACCGTAAACTGGGACTTATTCAAATCAATAGTCGGTTATTGGGAAGATGCCATCGTCGATAACATCGATGGGGAATACGATCAGCTCATTCAACATTTTCACGTTAGCGCAATGAAAGCTGAGAGTTCGAAAGTCACCAAGAAACGTGTTTGCAGAAACACTCGAGCTGATACGCCAGCGTGGAATCGCACGAGCTGCGGGCAACCGAGAATAACGTCCGAACTTGCAAAACAATGCAGACAGGCGGTAAAAAAAGATGCTAAAGAGAGAAGAGAAGCAGTAATGGTCGAAGCTGCAGAGGCTGGCAAAAGCATTCGCAAGCCCACCGAAGCTTCACCAATTACAAGACCAAAATGATTGCACTCCGGCACCGAAACGGAACAGTTATATCGTCCAGAAAGGCAATGGAGAAAATGATTCACTAATACTACTCGGATCCCTTCGATAACCACGTCCACCTTCAGTCATATGAAATAAGGATGGGTACGTTGTACCACCGGTTCTCCCTTCCGAAATCGGACATGCCATTTCGTCGGTGAAAAATCGAACAGCACCAGGTCCGGACAGGATAAGACCAGAACACCTGAGTTCGGCTCTTCACACGTTACCTCTCTGAATGCACGGTGCCTACTCAATGGAGAAAACCAGCAAGATCGTGTTATTGTTCAAAATGGTTCACCTCCATGGTACCAGCAGCAATCGCCCAATCTGTTTACTGTCTGTCGTCTAAAAACTTTTCACTCGAGTCATCTTAAACAGGAATGACATAACACTAGACGAAGGACAGCCATGTGAGCAAGGAGGCTTTCGAAAAGGATTTAGTACGATGGACCACATCCATACGGTAACAAGGCTCATTGAAGTATAGCGAGAGTACAAAAGACCGTCTCACTTTCATCGATTTACAGAAGGCCTTTGATTTAGTTGAGATAGAAGCAGTCTTGGAAGCCCTTGATAGTCAAGGATTCCCTACTCAGTACATAAAGATTCTTCGTGAGCTGTATAAAAATTTTACAACCAATATATCACCATTCTACAACGATATTAACATTCACGTCAAAGGAGGAGTTAGGCAAGGCGATACCATTTCGCCGAAATTATTTACCGCCACTTTCCAAAACGTTATGCGAACATTGGAATGGGATAATATGGGAGTGAAAATCGATGGTTGGCAGTTACTGTATCTTCGCTTTGCTGATAACATCGTTCTTATAACACCAAAAATTAGCCAAGCGGAACGTATGCTTGACGACTTTGATAAAGCCTGTGGAAAGATTGGTCTTCGGCTAAATTTCACAAAAACGATGTTCATGAAGAACGGATTGGTTTCGCATGCCCCATTCACGCTCAACGGAACGAATATTCCCAAATGTTCCACGTAGATCTATCTAGGTCGGGAAATCAATATGATGAACGACCTAGCTTCAGACCTGAGCAGAAGGAAACGAGCGGCTTGTGGAGCTTTCAAGAGCATCGAGGATGTTGTGAAGAGAGCAAAGAACACCCCACTCTGTGCCCACCTTTTCAACTCAGAGGTACTTTCTGCCCTAACATATGCGTGAGTAACCTCATCGCTGCGTAAGCGGGATGGAAGATCACACTCAGCATTATTGAATGCGCAGTCGAAAGGGCGATGCAAAAGGTATCCTGTTTCACATAAGTAGGTGGAGGGATCCGAAGCTTCGACCTGCGTCAACGATCAAAATTCAAAGATGCCGTTCTGTACGCTAAACAGTCGAAGGTAAGATGGGCCGGACACGTAATGCGTATGAATGACAACTGATGAACAAGAGTCGTTAGTGACTGGATTCCTCGAGATGTCAAACGTACTGCGAAAAGACCACCTACCCAATGGTCAGAGTTCTTCACAAGGAGTCTTGAAGAAGGATATGATGCTCGAGGAGTCTCTAGAGCAAGCAGAACTCACTGGGTTGCTCTTGCACGCTACAGGAAAAATGGAAGATTTACTGGCTCCCGGTCGAGTTACTCGACGATCAACGGGGCTACAGGTGATACAAGTGATACTTACATCTCGATTTAAGATGAGCAGATCGTTTATCACTCTGCGATTCAGAGCGCAAGCAGTCCATTTCAACTAGGAGTATGATTGAATTCATATGAACCATTTTTTAAATTGAGGAACACTCACAAATTTGCAATACTTTTGAGTGTTTATCTATTTAAAGGTTCCAAAAACAACCACATTAACGACATTACGCTTCCATGTGAATTCTGTGCGGTTGGTCTTCACGCGACATTTTCAATGGAAGGCCCATAGAAAGCGGCTCCGAGGAAGGCGAAATCCGCCGAAACGTCAGCTTGTACGTAAATAAAGAAATAAAATAGCACCTCGTGTTTGCTGAACTGAAGTAGAAAGAAGAACCACATTAGGTTACTGAAACATTAAAGTGTACAACGTAAGGTAACTGTGGAATTTCATAGAAATCACGAAATGAGGAAACACGGCTGGCGTTTCGCTTATTATCACTTTCAGTTTCCCTTTCAGAAATACAGTTGTGCTCCTGGATGTTGTATGCCTCGTGGTTTCCTGAAAGTGTAGAAAATGCAATATGATGGATGATGGCATTGTCTCTGGAAATTATAGAAAAGTCTCCTAAAGATTGTCGAAGGGATTATCTATCAAAGAAATTTGTCTAAATTTTTAAAATTTTTAGTGGAGTATCATGAATTTCGCGTGGGCGCGGAAGGGAAGGGCGCATATGGCGCAGTGGTCGTAGGCGCCCTTCAGCACACACTTGGAATCGATCCCTGCGCCCATGGTCCGCCAAGCCCTGCATCCCTCCTGGGTCGGCAAATTGGTACTAAACTTGTCTGCTAGGGTAGCAGCACTGGCTCGATAAATTGGTAGGCCACCGCAAGTCATTGTAAGGGCCAGATATGCATTCAATTACCTCCAAACGATGCTCAATGAAGTAGAATGCATGGCGCATCTCTCAGGGATTGATCAACGCCAAAATCTTTATCCTTTTTACCCTTTAATCATGAATTTCATCGTGTGAAAGGTTGTATGTCGGAAATATGTAAAAAAGGTGAAGAACACTGTAGGCGATGTGAACTGGATAGGAATTTCTGGTCGGCTTGGTGTAGAGGGTGGCGTGAATGCTTATGACTCTCTTCTGTTTTTGAAAACGATTGTCGTGAACTATGGAAGCCAGCAGAGAACTTTCTTTTCCTGTTATCTTTCTTTCCAGTACTGCGTTGTGTATTCATCGAGATTTTTTAAATGAAGGACGTATTTCTACACACTTTAGTCATCGTTGGTGAGTTTTCTTAGTTTCCAGGAAAAATGACCAGGATTGCGGACGACGTCTGTCCACTGAAGGTCGTCCTTAGTTGGCAAAAAGCGAATTGTGGTCATGCATTGATTCTGCAGGAGAACGACACAGGAGACATATTGGTAAGATTTAGATTCATTGATTAACATTTGTCTTTTAGCTAGTGTTTTTTGATTAGTACTAGGTTAATGAGAGTCTAAAGGTTTATGTAGTGTACTAAGTGATTAGTTTTCTTTCTTCGCCATGAGCTCGAAAAACTTCACTTCCTTTGTTTCTCATCTTCTGAATTTATAGTGTTTCAGTGGGATGCATTCGAAGTGCCCGAATTGGACAATTTCCTTCGCATTCTTCGAATGGAGGAACAGCAATATCAATGGCAAATTCGACAGCGTTATTATCAATACAGGTGAAGCCTTTTTTAAGTTGCGTTTTCCGTTTCTCTTCGGGAATTCTTCACTGGTTTTGAAGCATCTTTCAAGTCTGTGAAATTGACGTCGCCTTTCACATGAAACCTGTGCTGGTGCCACGGTGCCACGGATTTCCGTCACTAAGGGATCCTAGATGGTTAGTAGCTAGGTTATGTGGCCGCATGCCCAAGTGATAGATAGCCGATTATACCTTGAGCTTTATTGAGAAGCAGGTGGATCCAAGGGATGAACTGCTCGTTCTGCTATGCCTGTTTGGCGCACCTCTGTGTTTAATATCTTAAAAGACGGCTTCCATTGAGCCTTGGTAACAATAATCAGTAATTCTCTACATGACTGAGCTGACATGATTTTGGTATAAAAAACTTTTATTCGGCTAACTTTTCGGCGCCTTCGCCTTCCTCACAGCCGCGTTAATCAGAGTCGATCATCCACACCTGGTAGTTATCGCAGTGTGGGTGTTCGTTGTCGCATCGAATCGAATCCAGAGAAAGGGGCACAGCTCAAATGGGGAGCTCTGTATTTATTTTGAGATATTAACTCATGTTTGCCCGGATTCTCTGCGTACATGCAGGTCGTACTGTACACGTTAGTTTGACCGAAAACTTCGCAACGTTGGACGTGGGAGTCTTCTAATGAAGAGTATCATAATGAAATAGATTAGATCATTGCAAACTCAACGATTCTCTTAACCAATCTCGCTGTTGTGCCTAAATTGTACATGAGATCTAACCAATAGCTCCTTCGCACAAGATTCTATTTCTCGTGGAAAGGAGACAAAGCCGCAAAGTTCTAGGAACGGAATTTGAAAACCATTGTGAATTGGGATTAATTCAGATCGCTAGTTGACTCTTGGGAAGACATCGCCATCGGTCAGCAACATCAGTGACCAATACGATTAGGTTATTCAGCACTTTCACATCGATGCGATGAAGGGCGAGAGTTGGAAAGTTGCCAGAGAACGTGTGTCTCCAGAAACACTCGAGCTCATACGCCAATTATGTGAGACGCAGGCCATCAATGACTCACATTCGAACTTGCAAAACACTGCAGAAAGACAATAGAAGATCTTAAGGAGACAACAGCAGCAGTAATAGCCATAGCTGTTCAGGTCGGGAACATTATTCGCAACGCCTGCCGAAACATCGCCAATTATCTGATGACTGTGGTTGTCGAACACTTGTGGCTTCTGGAAATCCAATGGTGAAATCATCCAATCTGACGGCTAGTTTGACCTTCGCAACAGCCATTTACTCTTGCCTCCATATCGAATTAATGAGGATGTATATATCATCCTACCGATTTCCTCTTGAAGAATCGTACAGTGTCCGTTCCGAGCAGGATTAAACTCGGACATTTGGTGAACATACCGACAATCGTGATCAGTACGCTGGCTGGGCTGTATACACCTTTCCCATAGGGATGCAAAGTTCCTAGTCAATAGACCAGTAGGACCGTTGCCCAAAAAGGGATGTCCATCTGGAATCGGTAGTTATCGCTGTCTATCTGCTCTCTATCGTCCACAAACACTTCATTCGCGTTATCCTCAAAAAAACTGACGAAATACTGCATCAAGGACAGCCGTATGAGCAAACAAGATGTCGAAAACGGTTCATTGTAGCAAGTCAGTCTAAACAATAACGAAGGTCGCTGAAGTATCACGAGAATACATGAGACCAGGCGAAATGAATGACAACCGATCTCGATAACACCTTTGAGAAAAAACTTGGTTTTCGAGTGAATCTTAAAACGAAACACTCGCGAAATGAATGCTTCGAGTGGTACAGCTTTGTATATCTAGGTCGAGAAGTGAACGTAATGAACAATTTGGCTCCATAGTTAATAACAAAGAAGCGAGCGGTCTGAAGAGCTTCAAGGAGCATCACCGTTATAGTGGGTGTAAAGAAAACACACGGCTTCAAGACCACTTTTTCGACTTTACGGTTCTCGCCTCCTTAATAAACTGAAACTTGGATGCTGTGTAAACAGGATGAAGGACTAGCAAAACTATCGAACGCGCGGTCGAGAGAACGGAGCTGATAGTATCCCGTATCGCGGAATTGTGAGACGAATCCGATATTCCGATATGCACTCATAATGAAAGATCAGAGAAACCACAATGCCCGCGATAATGTCGACATTTCGGTGGGCAAGAGGCGTGTTGCCTATAGACGACAACCGCTGGACAGAAGCCGTTGGTGAGATTCCATGAGAGGTCAAGCATACAGAATGAGTACCACCGATTCGATAGTTAAAATTGATCACCAAGATCTTAGAAGGAAAACGAGTGCTCAGAGAGTTCCTAGGACGAGTAGAACCAGTACTCCTTCATACAAGAGCGACAAACGGAGACTTTACTAGCGCCCTATGGACGATCATGTGGAGGGAAGATGTATAAGTGATCCCATTGGGTTAATAGGCTATTGCTTATGCAACGATATTTGTTAAAAGTTTCTGATTACTGATGACAAATTATGTTAGCACTTTATAGAACCCTTATTATGTTAGTACCTTATAGACAAATTATGTTAACACCTTATAGAAAAAACTAATAATTCTTAAGGTATCATATAGATCTCGAGCTACGTAGAAGAGGCTATAGTAACTGGGAGTATGTTGACGAACCGCCGACAGAATTAGCTCCACCAGTGCCGGTATGTTGTTGTATTCCTTGCAGTTGAACTATTCGCCACAATACAGTCGTTTAAACCTTACTCGGTATAGAATTCAGAATCCCCAACAAAAATTTCATCTCCAAGTTTGGAAGGTATTATGGATTATTAGATGTGAAATAACCGACTAGTTCTTAAATGACTCCCCACATATCATGCAGAGCACTTCTATTCATTGTTACCTTGCAGTAATCATCTGTGAAGATAATCCAGTCTCCGTTTGGGTTAGGCTTCAGGCTGTAGCTGTAGGATCTGTCGCATTCATCCTAATTGAGTGCTGTTTGAGAATGATCTTGTAATTCCAAAGAAGCAAAGCCATCCGCCTTGTGATTAAGATCCGTTCTTGACGGTAACGATTCTTGTGGTGCTTCGAGCATTTGAGGTCGATAACAAATAACACGTCGAACAATGTTTAAAAAATGTTATTTCACTGACAAAAGATCTGATGAGTAAAGGAAGGAAGCAAAATTTTGTGCTGTGGCTTGTTTAGCTTCTTTAATACCGGTTGTGAAACCCACAGAAAACCTCAATCATTGCGCATCAAGCAGTGATCGTCCACAAAGTGCGAGCAGAAGCTCAACGAAGATATATGACAAGCCTTTTAATCACTATTTCGATTACTATGATGGGCTTCTAGACTGTTGTGTTGTATTTTTCATTGAAAAAAGGATGAAAGGTTAGGCATCCGTCAATTCGGTGAATGATTGGTTCAATGGTTGAATGCATATCTGACTTATAGAATGACTTGTCGCCCCCTATCAATGTGTCAAGTCAAGGTTGATATCTTCTTGGACGAGTCTGGTAGCAATTTGTCGATCCCGAAGGAATAGAAAGCGTGGTAAGCCCAGGGCGCAGTATTGAACCAACGACTACATGTATATTGCAGAGCACCCTAAACCATTGCGTTACACGCGGCAATCCGGGATAGGTTAGCTCACCATTGAACCATTTGCGAGGTCATCAGGACAGATTAGTGCTGCGTCAGAGCCGAACAAGATATCAGTATTAGTGAACCTCTCCAAAGTTTCGAATCACAATCGTACTCTGAAGAGCAGTCGTTTAATCCGTTACTACACTTGATACTTGATACTTGAACGGCCCATCCTCATTGGTTGTGCGGGCCCCACCATAACCTCCATTTTTTCGGAGATTTGCTGGCTAAGCCATTATGGTTTCCTGGAGTCCCGAGGTCAGCATGGCCAAAGTCTGCCCCAGGTCTTCACCGCCACAGACAGTCGCAGTCCTTGTGGATTAGAAGATTTGCCACCATGCGACTTTGATACTAGGACGGTGGTGGATCTTGGTATTAGTTTACTCTTAGCTAGGCTTCCTAATGGAAGCGCCGGACTCCTTCTCAGTTTGGGAGACCATGCCAGAGGATGAATCCCCCGCTGTAGATCGCAGTCCGACACCCAGGAACACGTCCCAACCACGATGTGGCGGTAAACCGTAGGCAGGTCCGTTTGTCCCGTTACTATGTTTGACAAAAATTTGTGGAACACACATTAGGCTTCTTATCCAATTTGCAGTGGAAGGTAAGGGTGTACAAAGCTACAAAGTTTTTAAGTCTACAAGTCTACAAACAAAGCTTTTCGTTCACTGCTAAGTGGAGAAGAGGACCAACACGACTTCAATCGTTGGATATCCCATCCACTTCGATCTGCAACTGTCGCCTCTTTACAGCATACGCTAACATCGGACAACGTTCACCCTAAAGTGATCGTTCTAAATTCTTCATCGTTTCAAGCAAAATCACCTATATCAGCCAAAGTTGAGCAAGAGAATAGTTTATGCTCAGATGATATAGACAATCAATTCCCCACTTTTCAATGATGCTGAGATATTTGCAAAACTCCGGACCGCAGGTGTCTTCGGTGGGGAAGGAAAGCGCTATTACCCTTTCCGGGGTTTAACGCGTTGACCACTACACTGAGTACTTTGTTTTGCCGGTCTCTCAGCTATTTCTAGCGATCAATGCCATCGGTAGTCACCCGTCAGCGGGGTTGATCTGCGGAGCCCAAACCGGCAATGAACACAGTTACGCTGAAGCTATAATTGAAATCACAAGACGGGCGAAACGAAAGGCCCGCATGGTGTGATGGTGAACGCGTTACTCCCCGGAAAGGACAATAGCGCGTTTGTTTCCCACCCCAGACACCTGCGGTCCGGAGTTTTGCAAACATCTCAGCATCATTGATGTTATATTTCGCAACATACCCTGTCATTAAAAAGAGTAGGTAGTAAATAGTAAGTCCTCACTTTTCATCATAAAGAGTGATCCCATCCAAAAATGTTCCTCCGATATTCTGCAAAAGAACTAATATTTGTAGGGTTCCTAAGAGAGTAATGTCGGTTTTTCAACAGAATAGTTCCTGCCTGTGGTTGAGATCATGGAATTTAGTTATATTTCTTGACTCTCCCGAGCAAATTAAGACAGTTGGAAATCTTATTAGAGCGTTTTCCCCACTTTTCGCCGCTTCGCTACTTTTCGAATAAAGGACAAGTAGTTCGCCCATTTAAAATAGCTTTCCTAAATCCACAAGTAATGGTGTCAAACAACTGAACTACTGCAAAACTAATCACTCTTCTTCTTAAACAAAAGAGTACGCGATTATCCGTCCATTCATTCCGGAAAAAAGGTGCAAAAGTACTCTTAAAGATGGAGACGTCATTTGCTTGCTGAGACATCTAGATGACCTACTTTCACATGTAGACGGATTCTAACAATTTCCTTATAAATTAGCAAAGTTGACTGATTCGAGTTAGCATCTGTCAACATATTTTTTTTATCCGACCCGTTTTCACGTCTATTGTGCAAGTCCCAGCACTTCTCACACTCGAGTCGTTTCCTCGCACCCATCATCCACGATAATCTTCCAACCTTTAGATGTGGCTTCGGCGGCTTCTTGAGGATTTTTAATTCATCTTGAGTGACATCGAATGCTAGTCGTATCGATTCTCCATGAGTCCTAAGGTAGCCGGGTTGCAGCGTTCACAGTTGGATTGCAAAGAATGATTTTTTTCTTAGACAAATCCGATGCCAATGCCAATGTCCTGGCCTCGGGGAGATGAGGGGCTTGGTGAGCCTGGGGCGAGACCGTACCAGCATAGTGCACGTGATGACCAGCTTCATTACCACTGTACCGTCCTTTCCTTTCTATCGATATAAAAGAAGTATAAGTATAATGATGCTGAGATATCTGCAAAACTCTGGGCCGCTGGGGTCCTGGGGTCTGCGGTGGAAACCGAGCTCGCTATTACCCTATACAGGAGCTAACGCGTTCATATTCACACCATGCGAGCCCTTCATTTGAAAAAAAGCGAAGAAAAAAAAACTAAGGACTGAAATGGTGTGGTGATGAACGTGGTAGTCCCGTGGTGATGAGCGTGGTAGTCCCCGGGAAGCGTAATAGCGTGTTTGATCCCACCGCAGACGTCACCGGTTCGGAGTTTCGTAGACATCTCAGCATCACTATGGTTATATTTCATTGCTATTAAAAAGGTGTATGCAGTAAATAAAAAGTCGACAAACGACATAAGGGTAAAATTTTTGCCAATATGATAGAATATAAAGATGCTATTAGATGAGCTTTATAATTTAGTGTGACGAAAACACTGCAATATATTCTGTTCGCATTGATCAACGAGTTCGCACATCGTTTTAGAAAACTACGCACTGATAAAAAGCTTTCAACGATCTTTTTTCCACTGGTTTTAAAATGCATTTATTTCAGACTGGAGAGAAGAATGAGTATGGAACCGGCGGTAGCATGGTCGTCAGCGACGTCTTCAACACAATCGGACAGGAACAGCTATCACCTGAAGAGTTATACAACTCGGTAGATGGTGATATCAATGACCCCACTTATGTGAATCTAAACTTTCTTAAATCACAACATATGCAGCAGTCAACGATGTTATGAAATGCACAGGCTTACATTGCCTTGACGGGACAGGAAGCTCGTTAGTTCCGTATTTCAGTTGGCTGTTGCACATCGAGCTGCTTGCTTGAAAGTGGTTTCTGTGTGCCGAAGTATCTCGGCCGTGAAATCACAACAACAATATCTGATACCAACCTCGCTTCAGCTTAACATGATCAGTTTTACAGGTCCACGTAAATTAATTGCTAATGCCGAGGTTTACAAAAAGTCGATCTTTTGAGGTATGTATGTGGTTTCTTTCACTACTCAATTTCTGGTCAGAATCACGGGAGCAGGTAAATTAGAGTATCGAGTCGTTTGACTGCTACTCACTCAGGAGTTCTCGAACTTAAAGCTTTTCTTTCTTCTAAATGCCCGTTGGCTTCGAATCACTTCTGTGCAGCGACATCCTTCAACATGCTCACGCTCATGTCACTCCTCTTAGTCTTGTCCTAAACCTTTTTTTTGTGATTTACAACGAACGTTGTCTACGCGTCGGTGCTGCCTGGTTGTACTTCATAAATTTTCAAATCTTTGAGCAGTTTTCAAGTTTTTTACTTGTTTTTTAATGTATGTAATTTTGTTGTGTCATGTATTACACAAGTAAGGCAGTAAAAGTTTGACTTTATTGTCCGTTCTGAATAAGTTTTCAATAAATTTCCTTTCTCTTTCGCGTAACACTCCACGCTGTAAATGCTCGAGCGCAAATGAGTGTTGTACATACCAAGTAGTTGGGAATATTAGTCTTTGTAGCTTCCACGCGGGTCTTCTGCGGGTAAATCACTGAGTCGAGCGCCTTCAGAGACTGGATTATAACTTTTATGACTGTAGTAACAATAATAACAGTATAATAACAGGGAAGCGAGCTATATGGACGAATGGAACGAATTGAACTAACTAGAAGAACTGGGCGAACACTAAGAGAACTAGCCGATGGACTGCTTATATTCCTTTTGTAATAGGTTGCGCTTTGACAGAGGGAACTAGAAACAGCGCTTAGTTCTAAAAATTTCTCAGCTAGTACAATCTGATAGAGCTACTTCCACGGAAAGTTCGTGAAGTTTATACAATAGCTTATCCAGAAAGTACATTTGGAAATGGTACCAAGGCTTATACATTATGAATGGGTAGAGAACATTTCATATTCATGAAGAGTGTTCTCTATAGTAAGTAGATCAGTGCACGACGCTTTGAGGAAACTCGTGAACGTATGCATATGCATAGATCCAAGGACGACATGCAGAATTTTTTGAGGTGCCGATTACTCCTTTGCGACTTGGAATGGTGGAGGAAAATCTCTAGTGAAACCATTTCAGCTTAACTGCGCTATATCATATATTCTCCTGTCGATCGTCGGTTAACTCAAATAGGTGCTAGTATAGCCTTGTCGTGTTCATGAACAGTTCAGCGAGTTCTGTTTCCACTAGGAGTATAATTATTGAATCGGTAGTCTTAGTGTTGCGCACTCGTCATTCCGTGATACGCAATCGCTAACGGGTTTTCCTCCGGTTGTCGCCAAGGCATGACTTGCCCGTCCATGTGCCCTTCGACATTTTGAAGTGCATAGCGACGTCCCTTTTCTTTCGTTGTTAGCTTAGGCTTGAATCTCGGCTATCTTTTTCACTTGCTTGATAAGGAATATTTCCAGTACAGTTCAGTCGAATACACGTCCAGTGGTACTGAATGATCTTTTTCACATAACGATTAGGTTTCTGACGGTCAAGTTAAGGCAGAGGGAATCGTTGATCCGAAAATGTGGGTACATAGTCGGGTTATTTTTGCCCTCTTCCTTATATTCCCGATGCTCCTACAAGTAACTCTTTTTGTTTGCCCATTTCTATTACTAAGTTATTCATTATTGTTGCCTAGCGACCCCTTTAAGAAAACAACAAAGAGGAAAATGAATTGCAATTTTGGGGGCGCGTAGCGCAGTGCCAGTCATGCCTATCATTAGGGGCACGGTTGTCGTTCGAACGCGCTGTGGATTCACCATACCTGTCATCTTTCCGTGGTCGGTAAATTGATACCGCACTTGTCTGAGAAAAGTTCGCTCTCTGTAATCCAAATGGGAACGTTCTGGTCCGGCTATCTCAAGTCCAGAATCGAGTCAACCAGCATTCAACGACATACGTTATAAAAGGAAAATCTTCAAGCAGCAGCCGAAGCCACACGTAAAATATTTGGATGACCTTTGTAGATGATGCAAATGAGGAAACGGATAGAGTGTGAGAAATGCTGTGATCCGCGCAGCAGATGTGGAAGACGGGTTCTGTAGAAAAAAGTTCTAATTTTACTTATCACCGAGTTGAAGTTAGATGGTTAAGATTTTCACCCGAATTCAATTAAATTACTGGTTGCCGATCTATCTAAAAGTGAAGAAATTGAGTGAAATGAAACCGCAGGCAAAGATGGGTCATATGCTTCAAGTTGCAGTGAAGGCAACGAAAATTGAAACCTTTTCAAATCACCACGGCAGAGTTACGAGTATGCCGGAAGAATAACTATGCGTTTTTACGAGCTGTCATTGATGAGCCGAGACAAAAAATAGTAAAAGACAATAGAGCTCACAGCCGTATCGCAGAAGATGCAGTATGAAAGGTTGCAAGTCAGTTTATTAGTAAAATATGGAATCCCAGTGAAACATCTGATGGCTATGCTGCTGGTCACTGGGACAATGTGCTTTCCAGATCTGGCAGCGCTTGTTATATGCAACACCGCTTATATCATGCAGTAGGCTTTACACCGAATGGTTAGCATGTATCTATCATTTTCACAGGCGTTGGTGTATTTATATGTTGGAATAATTTTAAGGACGGCTAGTCATTCGATAGCATACAACCTGTATGCTGATCAATCTCGTTGTTGTCATCACCGCGAGATTATATCTGAGATTTCCAGTCCGGTAAAAAAATTTAGGACACCTTCGAGTGAAAAGATTTATTTCCTGAAATAATGTCCTCCTCTCCTCAGGAAATCATGGAGTAACTCATGTGGGTATACTTGACATCTTACGCCAGAAATCGGACAGAAAAAGAAACACATAGGAGCCGTCATGGTCTTCGGAACAAAGTTTTCAGTCTTAAAATCTCTAAAGCAGCTAAAATGGCAAAACTCTCAATACAGTCTTCGAAATAGGTCAGCACCGTTACCTACTGCTTAGTAAACTGACATCACATTGTTAATAGTGAATAACTTGTGTTCAACAAATCCTATACAGAAGCGCATGCGTGGTGACATATGAAGAGCTCACAAATCTACCCTTCAATTCGACTTTTCTCTAGTTAACATACAATGTTTATGGATTTATACAGTCAGTAAGTCATACAAAAATAAAAAAATCGGAAGTTGGAGGAGCTAATAAAGGGAAAATAGACCGTTTGGTTATAGGGGAGCCTACGCTTGAACTGATATATTCTACTGTCAGCAGATGTTAACTTGAATGCTGAGAAAGAAGTCTATACGAAATCGATTCAGATGCTGGATGTTCCACGGTGTATTTAATGTAGAGATCCTTATGCTCTCCCGATTCCAGCACTAACTTCCACTCCAAGTTGTGATCCTTGTTGAGCACGGCTTCGTACTTTCCTCGAATATCGGGTGAAACCACACAGACCTATAACGTACAATGCCGACTAATCTTGGCTCGATTTTATATTGAAGGTGAATAAAACATGATAGACACATTTTTACACCTAAATTTTTTGAAATCTTTTTTATTTTATATGGCCCGTCTTCATGTGTGCTATGCGGATCCCAGCACTTCTCACATTCGATTCGTTTCCTAGCATCCACTGTTCACGAGGATCTTCCAAGTTTCCACGTGTAGCTCCCGGTTGCTGCTTGAGGATTTTTATCTTGAATGTCCTAGAATTCTGGTCTAGCAATTTTCCCCGAAGTCCTGAGATAGCCGAGCTGAAGCGTTCCCAATTGGATTGCAGAGAGTGATTTTTTTCACAGACAAGTCAGGCACCAATTTCCCGGCCCCAGAGAGGTGAGAGGCTTGGTTGGCCCGGAGCGGAATCAAACTATCACCATGCTCGTAATGACGGACATAACTAACACTGTGCTATCCGATGCTTATACATAGATGTATGGAGTATTTTTATTCAGTAATGAATACCTTGATTTTCTCATCAGTGGATTTCGGAATCTGCTTCCAGACGGTCAGCTGCACCGCCTCTGTGACCTTGGCGTTTCTAAGCGATACTACGTGCTCGTGCGTTATCAGTGTGTTTTTCGACATGAAACCCACCTGCAATCCATTAAGTTCACTAGCGAGAAACAATAAAAAACTAAATGCTGTAACAGAAAATTAAATAGTTATTTTGAAGCATACTCAAACATCACAGTGTCGTTTCCGACACTGTGATTTCTATGCTATCAACTCCATCAATGATTTTCCCATTGTTCAATAAGGGCATTGAGAGAAAGTCTACTTATCTCGCATAAGATTCAAGTGATGGAGAAAACATACAAACATTGTTTCTATCATGTCCAAAATCGTCAACATCAAAAATCAAAAAAGCTGTAAACCTTTGTCTAAATCCACCTCCGTCGCTGTGCTGCTTTTAACACTTAGTAAGCGATAACTAAATCCGTATGGCCGAGGCATCTTATTTGACGCCCATTTTTCGGCGCGCTCGCTGTGAGTGGATCTCCACTCACGCCGGCCACTACCACAACCTCGCAAATGGCTCCGCAACGTTTGCAGTGCTGTTCTTCCTGCAGTTTGGTATTTTTATGCATGTTGCTAAGAATACACGTGGCTTCTATTTTACACGCATCCTCTAAGCTCTTCTATGTATTTTCTCATAATCTTGATCCATTTCGAACGAAAAACTCGTTCGCTTCTATATACATTCCATAAGCTAGATGACATCCGTGGTGATTAGAGACGAAATAATAAGCAATTGTTGAGCAAAATTTATTTTTGTATGCTTGACACATAATAGACGACATTGGTTTCCCTACAATTCCGGACAATTTTCTAGTAATTAAAGTATTTGAGGAGCTGGGAACATGATAGAGTTATAGAAAGGATGCTCCAAATTAAGTATCGAAATCCCAAATCTTAGGATCTAGTTCACCTGTGCTTTGCTTATAGTTGGAGTTTTACATTCGATTTTGATGGATGGGTCCACACCGAGTGGGCAGCAAAATTGCTCTCCAGGTAGCACAACACCGAGATGAAACTGGAAACTGGCTCCACATATACGATGAATCAAGATACCTTCGTTAATATACCTTGGTTATGAATCCGTTGTTAAAATATACTGCCAAATCTCCGGGTGAAAGTGGAAAAGATGTTGTGTTCGTTACTGTAGCGGACAAGAAAGCAGAATCAGAGCGTGAAGGCACACATTCATGGACGAAAGTGCATGCTAGATCGAACTGAAAAAGTTCTAATCACTTTTCAACTTGAAATGCGCAATCTCAAAAAACACTTCCTGTCTTTTTTTTCCTAACTGCCGAAATAATGTACATGGAAGTTTACCGCTTGGAGAAAGCCTCCAAGGCCGTTGAAGAGTTTTAAATTTCTACTACGATCTTCGTAGATCGGAGGATTTTCTATTTCACGAAAACGTCTACCAAACGGCGGTGAAACAGTCCTGCCATTGTTGAAATCTTAGCTGTATGGAAGTGTTGAAATGTTTCTGGACTTGTGAAACTCTTGGAGGAATGAACCTCACTGTAGAACGTATTTCGACAACCAGGAGCACCGTCAGCCGCTTCAAGTCGGTAAATTGGAAAAACTCTTTATATTATTGTTTAGCAAACACGAAGTGTTATTATTTCTTTATTTACGAACAAGGTGACATTTCGGCGGATTTCGTCTTCCTTAGAGCCTGGAAAGGTCAAGTTGACTGCAATCTACCCGACCAAACACCTCCATAACCAGCTTCTAAATTGGAAGAAGTTTCCACGATGATATTATGACTTTAGTAAAAGTGTTTTGTCAACTATTGAAGTACAGGGATACTACGTGTAGCATACCGTCTAGGAGTACTATTAACACGCCATTCTCAATAAAAGTCACAAATTTGCCACGACATATCATGAAGATGGCTAGGTTATGTGTGCATCGAAAAATCCAAACTCTTCTTAGGCTGAAGAATGATGAGGTACGCTGACTCAATGTCGCACATCGTCATTAGATGCCTACTGCGTAAGATCTGCAGTTTACAAACCTCTCCCTCACCAGAGACAAAATTGGGTTATCCCATTTGGCCACTCACTATCCTCGTATACTATCCCTCGTGGTAGATGACTAACATATTATCACCAACGACGTGCACCATTCTGAAACGAGGAATCTAGATGCGGCAAAAGTGCTTAATAATAGCAAGGATCTCTCTCATGAAAAAATGGAAACCTTCTTATATTGTTTTTCGTAAGGAATAAGTATAGTAAGCAACTAATGATACCGCAGGAAGCTCATCCGATACCGAGATGTATCGGATTCCAATATAAAAAATGATGGGACCTTGTTAACATTGCAGTCTACACCTCCAAAGTGTCATCATATAAATATGGATCTAATCAATCTCATAGAAAGCGGCTCTGAAGAAGGCGAAATCCGCCGAAACGTCAGCTTAATCGTGAACAAAGAATAGTAACACCTCGCGTTTGCTCAACAAAAATACGAAGGAAATCAATGGATCTAATCACTTTTCTCTCTGAATAAATATTTGATTTGTACGTAAAACGACATAAGAATTCTTTTTATAGCGCTGAAAAGAAATTCTCCACCGCAGAAGGATCTAAAAGGAAATCTCTTGTCAACACGAAAATGTCTCACAATAGCAGCTGGATGGAAACGAAATCGTTAGCAACTTCTGATCCATAAATGATGAAGGTACTTCGCTCCTTTCTGTTCAAATACTCTTACACAAAGCCAGATAAGGACGATGAAGTGGAGCCTTAATTGGTAAAGAACCCTGCAAGGGTGACCATTCGGGTGAAAAACCGATCGGAACGGTCGAGGCATAATTTCACGAATGTGCTGTATGAAGCAATCCCAATCGTAGAATTCTATGCATATCAGCTGTCCCTCCGTTTGTCCTGTGTTTTCTATAGAAATCGTAATAAAACCAGCATTTCAAAAATGTAGAACACCTGTCTTCAGATGAACGAATTGAAACCTAACATGAGATTGTTATAAAGACTCCTATTCTGGCCAACTCTTTGGTGCTAACGCCTTCTTCAGAGCTGCAATATCACAAGCGGTGAGTCTATAACCGTTTTTTCTTGCAACGAATGTGTCTTCATACTACAGCTAGTCAAATTGAGCAGTGGAACATCGTAGGAATTTCATTCACTAGCTTCACTTTGCAGCGCGCTTTTATAGAGGACGGTTCTCGATCGACCGTCCGAATAACCCATTTTCATACGGAACTTTTCAAACATATCTCCAAACCTGGGTCGGCAGCACCAATCCTGTTTTCCCCAATTCGAACGTAGTCTTTCAAAGTATGAAATGTCTGATCAAAAAGTAATAAGGAATGAAAGGATAGAGTTCTCGGCGTTAATCAATCCCTGAGGAATGGGCCCTGCATTGGACTTCGTTAAGCATCGTTGGAGGTAATTGAATGCATATATGCCCTTTACAAAGACTCGTAGCGGCCTACCGATGTATTGATTCAGTGCTATTACCCTCCCAGAGAGGTCTAATACCAATTTTCCGAACCAGGAAGGATGCAAGGCTTGGCGAGTCTGAGGCGCTGGATCAATCTCATGTGTATTGGAGGATACTTTCAACCGCTGCGCCACACCAGCCCTTCAGAAAGTAATATTGGACAATAATATAAAGCGTTAATGTGCTCTCTTAATGATAGAGAGGAATATCACGAAGGTCATTCCGGTCCTTCATCCAGAAAAGGGAAAACGTTCCGATTCTCACCGTTGCGATAAGCACCTTGTACTTAACACCATTACTCGGGATGCTGAGGATCCGTGGAACGGAAAAACACGTAGATACGAGGTTTTCGATGCTCTAAATGGTTGGTATATATATATATATATACATGAATTAAAGTGCTATGTAAAAGTGAGTTTAGCATACATGTGTAGTGATACTGCTTTCCTCACTGGTCCTGCTCTGCTGTGCGGTGTTGAAACGGTGTAGAGCGACAGCGTCAGTCATTTCGTTGCAGTCGAAGGAGCCGAAGCCCATATCCTCCTCAGATGCTGCATACATTAGCTTTCGAAGAGCCGCAGATGAATGGCGTTGACGATGACTATAAGTGTAGCAGTAATTGAATGGCTCTACAATATTTGAATATTGTCTATATTTTGTGTCTAATCTATAATTGGGAGCGACTATCGCACTAGTAGTGATATCGTTCATTACGCTGAGGGTCCAACCCAACCATGCGCTGGTTAGACCCCACACCGAGCCCACCAAGCCTCTCGTCTCTTTAAATGACGGGAAAATTGGCAAATTGGTACGAGACTTATCTGGGAACGGTTAACTCCGTGCAAACCAAGTAGGAATACTCAATTCGTGGAAAAATTCACTCGACCAGCACTCAACGATATTCGTAATGAAAACGAAGAAAACGTCAAGCAGCAGCCGAAACCATATGCAAAAAATTCCGAAGATCATCTTCCACGTTGTACGCGAGAAAACGAATCGAATGCATTAATGTTGAGATTCACACATGTGAAGTCGTATGTTGTAATAATAATAACCAAGAATAATAGCAGTCGTTGGTAACAGTAAACTATAAAAATGATTAATAACAACAAGTGATTAATAATAATAGTGATTAATTGTCATAATAAAAGCGAAAGCTCTCGCCGTTGATCAATCCCTTTAGGGAGATGCATTCGACTTTATTAAGAATCGTTGGAGGTGATTGAACGCATATCTGGCCTTTACAATGACCCGCGGTGGCCTACCGATGTTTCGAGCCAGGCTGCTATCCTTCCAGATTAGTTTGGTATTAATTTGCCGACGGCGGAGGGATGGAAGGCTTGGTGGGCCACAGGCGCCGAGACCGATTCCACGTGTGTGCCGCATGGCGCCTCCGGCCACGGTGCTACACGCGCCCCAATTAATTGTCATAACAATAATAAATAGTAATAAATAACAGTAAATACTAATATTAAATAACATTAATAAATAAAAAAAATAAATAATAGTAAGCAGCAATAAAAGATAATATTGAATAATAATAATCAACAATAAATAGCATTTTTTAAAATTTTTATCGACCCGTCTTTTCGTATACTGTGCGGATAACAGCACTTCTCATATTCGATTCGTTTCCTTGAATCCGTCATCCGCTAATGTCCTCCAGCTTTTACGTGTACCTTCGACTGCTGCTTGAAGATTTTCATTTCATTTTGAATGTTCTAGAATGGTGGTCGAGTCAATTCACCCTGGAGTGCTGAAAGCATTCCCACTTGGATTCCAGGAGTGTTTTTTTTTCAGTTAAGTCCGGTACTAATTTCCCGACCCAGGAGGGATGAGAGGCTTGGTGAACGTTGGGCGGGATCGAACCACCACCGTGCTCGTGATGATCGGTACCACTAAAATAATAAATAATAAGTAAATAAATAACAGTAAATAATAATAGTAAATAATCCGTATTAGGTTCTTCCGTGTTTGATTCAGAAATGCTTTACACAACGAGATAACCTCTTACTACTTTCGTTTGAGAAATACGGGACATACATAAGGATATCGACAGTTGCTCAGTGATTCAAATCTTTGAGAAAACCTGGGTTCAAAATTGAATTCGGAGAACGAAATTAGGAAGAAACTTCAGTCGTTTACGAAAAAACGAAAGACAAGTAGTTTTCTGGAAGTTCTCGTCGTTGATCCCGAATTTGTCCTAATACGTTATTATTATGCGTGCGGTTAACACCGATAATAATTTCATTCGGGATCGACTGATAACCATGTTTAGATTCGTTATGCACTCTGATCCAGCGGTTACGTTTCAAGCGGAATCGCCTTTTGCACTTAGATCTTACCGTGGCAAAAGTGTTCTCCAAAAATAACAATTGGGAGAAACGTCGGATCGTACACCACGGCACGATGAGCCGAGCAGCTCGGAGGAAGCCCGATCTGCTGTGTTTCTTATGCTGTTCCTTCAAGACTTCATGCTTAGTGAACACACTCTATGGGAACGCAAAATGTGTTCTCAAACAGCCGGGTAGACCAGTGAGTTCAAGGATTGTCTAAGATGTTTGAGGCGAGTTCGACCTAATGCTGTTCTCCTCCTCCATTCCGTTAAATAACTGCAAAATATTTTAATGTAAGTTCAAAATTAGTTTTAAGGAAAGGTGACTTGATCATCTACTCCAGTGAAATGGTGAGTGAACAATTTTGTGCGATCATGCCCGAATCATCGAATTCCTTCTCTTAGCTGGATGTCAAACCCTGACAGAAAAGTGCTGTCCTTGATAGTAATTAGGATAGTAGCTGGCTAGTGTTTCGTACTTATATAGGATGGGTCATTTCCTGAGCCGATAAACACCGATAGCGTAATGTTCTTTCTTCGCTGTCGAAAGCCTTTCAATTGCTACAAAATTTAGGGGGAGGCATAAGTGGTCGAAGTAATTCCTGCAGAGCTTCCACACGGCTGTGTTTAAAAGCATATATCAAAAGAAATAGAATGGTAGAATAACTCATAACAAGACAGGTTAGCGCAGTGGTTGGAGACGCCCTGCAACACACACGTGGAATCGATCGTCGCGCCCGTGACCCAACAAGCCTTCCATTCCTCCGGGGTCGGTAAATTGGTGTCAGACTTGTCTGGTATGATAGCAGTACTGGCTGGATACATCGGTAGACCACCGCGAGTCATTGTAAAGGCCAGATGTGCACTCAACCACTTCTAACGATACTTCATGAAGTTGAATGCATGACGCATCCCTCAGAGATTGATCAACGCCGAGAGCTTCATCCCTTTTCTAACAAAACAGGTTTCTAAAATTTTAGGTACATTCAAGGCTGCCAAGATTTAGAACTCGGGCTAAAGTGAAGACCTGTACCTACAATGCACGGACACTTGTACCTGAGTCCACAATAGAGGACTTGATCATGCAAGCAAAACGATAAGGTGCAATGTCATCGGACTGGCTGGGACAAGAAGGCGCCACCTATTCAACGGCGTCGGTAGCCGGCCTAGAGCGTTCTCGACTGGATTGCAGAGAGCAATTTTTTTCCGGACAAGTCCGTTACTAATTTCCGAACTCCAGAGGGGTGAGAGGCTTGGTGGGAGCGAAGCGAAATAAAACTAGCACCGCGCTCGTAATTGCCTGCATCACTACCAGTGCGCTATCCGCCCTCAAATGGAGAGCACCGTAACGAAATAGACGACACCGTAGTAACTCGATGGTTCTGCTTAATTGATATCGCTGTTGACTAAAAAGCCTACACGGGATTTCATTTCTCGTGGAAAGGAGAAAAAGTCGCTAAATTCAAAAAAAAGAGAATGCTGGAACCACTAAAAACTACGCTTTATTCAGCTTATTAGTCCGCAGTTGGGCAAACGAATAACATCGACGAAGATTACGATCGGCTCGTTAATCGTCTTCACTTTTGCGCTATAAACCTGAGAGTTCGAAAGTCACCAGGAAACGTCTGTTTGCAGAAACACTCGAGCTGATACGCCAGCGTGGAATCGCACGAGCTGCAGGCAACCGCGAACTAACGTCTGAACTTGCAAAACAATGCAGACAGGCGATAAAAGATCTTACAGAGAGAAGAGAAGCAGTAATGGTCGAAGCTGCAGAGGCTGGCAGAAGCATTCGCAAGCCTACCGAAGTTTCACCAATTACAAGACCAAAATGCTCCGGCACCGAAACGGAACAGTTATATCGTCCAGAAAGGCAATGGAGAAAATCATTCACGAATACTACTCAGATCTCTTCGATAGCCACGTCTTCCTGCCCTCATTTTCAATGAAAGAGATTGAATATGCTACCCCACCGACTCTTCCTTCCAAAATCCGACATGCTATTTCGTTGGTGAGGAATCGTGCAACACCAGGTCCGCATAGAATAAGATCTAAACACCTGATGAACTTCCTGCCAATCCTCATCAATATACTCTCTCCGCTCTTCACACCTAAGCTGCCAGAATAAAGGTTCCTGTTCAATGAAGGACCAACAAGACCCGTGTTATTGTTCAAAATGGTTCACCTCTATGGTGCCAGCACAAGTCGCCCAATCTGCTTATTATCATCTACAAACTGTTCGTTCAACTCATGCTAAACAGTGTTAAGAGAACAATGCACGAAGGGCTGCCATGTGATCAAGCAATATCCCGAAAAGGATTTGGTATGATAAACCACGTCCACAGGATTGATTCACTGAAGTGTCACTAGAGTACAAAAGGTGTCCGTCTCACTTTAATCGATTGAAGGAAAGCTTCTGACCCAGTTGAAATAGAAAGAGTCATTGAAGATCAAGACACCCAGAGTGTCTCTATTCAGTATGTAAAGATTCTTCGTGAGCTATATAACAGTTTCATAACCAAAAGGCCATTCTTCTATAACGATATTAAGATAAACATCAAAAAGGGTTAGGAAGGAGATACCATCTCGCCAAATTATTTACCGTCACTCTTGAGAACATTATTGTGAAAATATGAGTGGAATAACATGGGAGTGAAAATCGATGATCGGCAATTACTCCATCTTCGCTTTTCTAATGACATCGTTGTTATAAACATACCAAACATTAGCCAAGTGGAATGTATGCTTGTCGACTTTAATAAAGCCTGTGGAAAGATTGGTCTTCAACTAAATCTCACAAAAACGATGTTCATGAAGAACGGATTGGTTTCATCTGCTCCATTCAGGCTCAATGCAGTGGATATCTTCGAATTCTCCAGTTACATCTATCTAGGTTGGCTAGGTTGGGAAATCAACATGATGAACAACCTAGCTCCAGAGCTGAGCAGAAACAAACGGACGGGTTGGCGAGCTTTCAAGAGCATCGAGCATGTAGTGAAAAGAACAAAGAAAATCCGACTCCGTGCCCACCTTTTCGACTCAACGGAACTTCCTGCGTTAACATATGCGTCAAAAACCTGGTCGCTGCGAAAGCAGAATAAAGGATTGCTCAAATTATGGAACGCATGGTCGAGGAACGATGTTAAGAGTATCCAGTGTAACACAAGTGAGGGAAGAGATCCCAAGCTCCGACCCTCGTCAACGACGCGAACTATCGAAGACAAGATGGGCTGAACACGTAATTCGTATGGACCACAACTGACGGACAATAGCCGTTAGTGACCGGATTCTTCCTGATGTTGAACGTGCTGTAGGAACACCGCATACGCGATGGTCAGGATTCTTCACGAAGAGCTTAGAAGAAAGATATGATGCTCGACGAGTCCCTAGAGCGAGCAGAACTCACTGGGCCACTCTTGCATGCGAAGGGAAGAAATGGAAGAGTTGTGGCACCCACTCGAGTCACTCGACGATTGAACGAGGGGCGATGCATGTGGTACAGGTGAATAAAACACAGAATTATCTCCATAAAGAGCTTGTAGACTACCCTCAACCAAAAAGTTGTACAGTGGTTATGAAGGCTCTTTCAGTCGGCCCACCTTGGTGAAGTTCTCGCACACTATCTTTGCCTTCACATTAGTATATTGCAGGTTTTCAAGAGTGCACACAATTTTTCACGATTCATCAAAGCATCATTCGCGAATCTCATAAATGTCGGATTAAAAACGTTTCATCAGGGAGCTATGACAATGGAAATAATTAGGATGCTATAATAAAGTGTTAACAGATTTCTGAATTTGTTTTACGAACGCTTTTTTACGAAAAGTAATGGCGCAAAAGCTAACTGTTTGTTGGCTCGATGAATGAGAGCGGAAAGTGTCGCCAGTTGAGGTGCAGAGCCTCCAACAGGTGGTGTTGTAGTGCTCAACACCATACCTGTATTATTCCAATTATCGCCTGTATTCTGCTCGACGACACCATAACAGCATAACTGAAAGAAATCTGCTGAATCGTTTCAGAATGGAAGACGAAAAACTCAATTACGAAAATTTTCTCGTTGTTGTCGGTATCATCAATTCGACAAGTTCGTTTATGTGGGAACAGAGAGATTACTCCTGAACTACCTCCCAATTTTTGAATTTATTAACGACTTACAATCAAAATGATACACAGATGGATGGAGAACTCAGGTCCTAGGGCAGATTCGAAGCAGCGATTACCCTTTCCGAGGACTCATATATTATGCCCTGAACCGCTGAGGACCTTCTTTGTCTTCCTCTCGGCCAGAATTCTCCCTGACGGTGTTATCAGCAATCACCCGTCAGCGGGAATGATCTGGGGAGCATAACTTGACAATGAATCCAGTTAAAATGAAGCTGCAGTCAAAATCGCAATGTGGAACTTATTTTAGAAAATTCTTTCAAAAAATTCGAAATGTTTGGAATATTCTAAACACTATTTAAAGTGAAAGAGTTATTATTTGCTACAGATTTTTTTATTCCATATATTATCCGAAATTCTGCGCATGTGAGCATGTGGCATGTGAAAACTCTCAAACATCCCATTACAGCAGAGTGTCAGCGGAGAGTATTTGATTGGAAAAGAAACCTCGTAGAGTACCTGTACTTGGACTTGGATAGATTCCCTTGACTGGTTGTGTGGGCAACCCAGCATAATTTTCTTTCTTTTTCCTCTCGCCAAATCGTAAACTATGGTGACAGCCCTCTTCGTACACGGTGGGGTCCACGAGGCCCATTCTGCAATCCTAAAATCGTTGCCCATCTGCGAGTGCAGTTGGTTGATGTTCGTCACGAAAACGTTCGTCCATCGTTTGGGTAGCCTTCTAAGAGGAAGTCAGCACTCTCTTGAAGCCCCCAACCACTGTAATTTTTAATAAAATAACTGTTCCTTTCCTTCATCCGTCATTCGTTCTTCCTATTCTGTGACCGGTCTATCTGTGTTTCGCTATTGATTTGTATTCTCCTGGATCCCGAAGATGGGATAGGTTCCGAACATTTGAGTTGCGCATTCCAACTAGACATTGTGAACGCCGGTTATATTTCAGAAATATCGTTCAAGCGCTATATGGGTGATGCACAGATTTCTTGACTTGGCTGAACTATCAACTCAAGACTGCTACATCAGAGAGCGCTGTCAGCACTGTTGAATTGAGAAGGTGAGCACGAAGTTTTGGGCCCTTTAGTTAACGGTAACTTCTTTGAATGTCCGAATGCGGCCCATACCGCTCTTCTTCTTTTGTTTAATTTTCCCTTCGTGTTGGTGTCCATGTTTAGTGAACATCCAAGGTACATGTGCGATGTGGTTTCTGTAGTCAGAGACCATCCAGTTCGATTTGCTCACCCTCCCACCATGGGTTTTTCATGAACTTGGTCTCTGTCCTATTTGTACACTGTCCAATCTCTTACACACTCCGTTGAGTTCACTGAGTATCCTATCTGCTTCACTGGTACTCCTGGAAAAGATGACGATGTAATCCACGAAGTGAGATTTGATAGGGATTTTCCGTCCCTATGTATACCCTTCTCGTCCCAATCCACTGATTTCATTATCCACTGCGGAGAGGCAGTAAAAAGCTTCGGCAATATTGCGTCGCCTCGTCGAACTCCTTTCCCGATGGGTATGATGAAGGGTCGATGAAAAAGCTGTGCATTTGTTTCGCAGCTCCGATAACAGCCTGCTAGTCTTCATGTATAAGACGAGTCCACGCCTTGGTTAACGAGTGTTGACAGGATTGCATTCGTTTCGACCGTGTCATACGTTTTCTCGTAGTAGATGCAGGTTAGGACAAGTAGCATAAGGTACTCCCGATAGATTAGTGTGATCCGTGATACAGTTTGGATGTGGTCCCCTTCGAAATCCGGCTTGCTCAAGTGGTTGTGCCTCATCAAAGGGCTTCAATATGAACGGAAGGATAATTTTCGTCAACAGCTTGTAGAGTACACTCAACAAGCGTGCTGGACGGCAGTTACGAAGATCCCTTCGGGCACGTTTCTTGGGTATAATGACTGCGTGAGTTCTTGCACTGATCTGGGATTTTCTCTTTTTGAAAGCAAGATGTCATGTGGGTTGCGCGAAGTACATTTAATTTGTGGCCATCAGCTCCTTTGAAATAGGCGGTGATATGATTGCGTCTTGGAGGTGTGTCTCTCTTCATGTTTTCTGTCGTAACTCGAACTTCAGAACGTAGAATCCCAGCGGCTTTTCACCAGCAAAGGTCTCGGGGTCCGAGATGAGAATTGTATAGTGGAAAAGACATGCTTTCCGTTATTAATTTCATTTCGTGGTGAAATGTAGGGATAGTCCCATCTTTGTTCTTCAGCGCGGATAGCGAAACACTGTAGTCACAAGGATCCTGACGGCACTTCGTCAGACTGGATGGTTTTTGAACTAATTCTCAGCTCCTTTTTCTTATGCTGATCTGAATTCTCCTGCAAAGACATTCTACAGCTGAAGTTCATTATCACCTGTGTTAGGTGTGTTGCAGTAGGACCAAGCTTCAGTTTCTTTCTCTTTTCGCGCAATGAGGTGATAGAAATGTGGTTTGAACCTGTCTTTGAGGAACTCAGGAGAGTTCAGCTGAATTTTTAAGTCCTTCGACAAGCACCTCGTATTTTTTGGGCGGATCTGCCTTTGTCTGTGAGTCATACGGAAAAATTTTATTCAGAATCTCCTCGTTATATACCCTGTTCCGTTTTTCTTGGATGACGATAGAAATTCTTTTCCATCTTATAACTGAATCGAATATTCGCACGGAGAAGACGGTGATCAGATCCAGTGTAGAATTCATGTACCACTGAGCTCTCAAAGATGCACCATCTTCTGTTCATGGGAATATGGTCGATCTTCGTAGAAATAACGGCGTTAAGAGATTCTCATATCTGTCGGCGATTTTCTCCCTAGTCGAAAAATGAATTGCCATAAGAGAGACGCGGTACGGACAGGAGTTCTACGAGATGATTTCCATTCTCATTCCGTTCTCCTAGACTAACAACGACCTTGCAGAGTAACCACCGTAAAATGCTAGCGAATTCAGAAAAAAAAGACTGTTCCCTCAAACGGGAAATACTCTTGTATTGGTCATTGCTCATGTGTTTCACATTCCAATAGATTGACTAAGAAACAGCAGTTTTTTTCTTTTGCTACGTCATAGGTGTAAATTTGGTTGGGTTCGATAAGCGGAAAATCAACAATAATCAAGCGTTTTAAGATAGGAACAGTATGCTCTAATAGGTAAACAGGTTTTCCTATTCACCTTCACGGTACTTCCATTCTCTCTTTCAGTTGTAGTAGCCGCACGAATGTCGTATGCTGGTCGCCAGCTCGCACAATACACCTCAAAAACACTTCACAGTAAGAAAAGGCATAATAACGAACACAAAGTGATAGGATTCTTCCCAGAAAATGTTTGTTGGTTAGGCTGAGGTTCTGCGAGGAGAGCAGCTAAGGAATTTCGCTCCAGTATTGCAACAACACGTTGGGATCATGTGGCCGAAGTCTAACGCTTGACACTCACTTCAAGCGCGAATATATATTGGTACTTGGCGAAAAAATTTCCTTGGAATCCAAATTCCTTTATCGACATTTTCAAGAGAAGAAAATACATTTTATCATAACTTGCGTACTTGTACAAAACTCTCATCTTTCATTATCAGCGTATTTAATTGGTTACACGAAAAAAATTAACAAAATAACCACTATTCTCAGAAAGGCATTCTTTCAATTGTCAAAACCATAACTTGATAAGAACTAGACCAGAAGGTCCTACACAAAGACGTCAGACCAGATGATGTTAACTGTAAGCAGAGATCGCAGTGCTAGTCAACTTTCCGATTTCACTGCTCATGTTCATCCGTCACCAATGGACTGCTGCATTAATACAGAAGCGGGGAAACACTGAATACCAGCGGAAAAATCGACGGAAGAGAAACTGCAGGAAACCCAAAAAAGCCAAAAAGCTTTTCTTTGAGCACGTTTCACTTTGACGCTAAAACGTGTCCTAGACGGCACTTTCCTATGTTCTCCGAGTCGCGTTCCTACTCCTTGGAGACAACATGGCTGTCTTACGGCTCTGGTTCCTATTTCATGGCAACGACATGGCAGTTCAACAAGATTCATTTTTTCGTAGATAATAGCATAATGGATAAACTTGAATGTATTGAATTCCATATGGAACCTTCGCACCTATACTACTTTACTGGTTTTATTTTCACTTTTTCATTAGCAATATTGCTGATATAACATGATCAAAGAACCTAATATTTAGGATTCCGGTCAAATCCGCCTTCATTTAGGTGACTAAATTCATTGCCCTCTCAGTGTTTCTGAATGAGAACACATTGACGTCAGAACTTCTTCAATTTCAAACCTGATAGGAGACAAACAACTCAACGCTTGCCGGCGACTCCATTTCCACCAGAATTGTAATGTTCCTAAAAAGTTGACAGAAAAATTGATTTGCTAGCATAGACACTCAAATGATACACAATGGAACTGCTGTTTTCAAAGAAAAAAGCCATTCTGTGAATGTCTAAATCTGAAGTGATGAGGAATTTGAGACAAGCCACTTTTTGTGAACAACTTCTTCAGCACCAAGTCTGGACAGCGTAGAGCAGGGTCGACCACACGCACCTAGTACGTTGCTAATGTCGAAGTGTAACAACGATATTGTGTAAGGTCACAGTATATTTTTATACAAGAAGTGTCAATTTCGAGACTTCCCCACTGCTGAAATAGTACTCAAGCAAAGTCGTTATAATCCGAAGCAAACCTTGATAATCTCGATCCGTTTTCAGCACCTCCATAACTAACAGTTATTGAAACGAATCAGTATAACTGCTACGTTTTGGTCTACTGCTATGGAGATGGTTCAGATCGATCAAATAGATCAGATCGATCAGATAGACCTTGCTAAACACGATCATTTGTGATAGGCCCGAGCAGGTGAATTTTAAAAAAATGTTGGCTTTTTTTCACGAGCATATGTGTGGCAGTCGCTCCAATAGAAGTCATACGACGCGGAGAAAATGGCTGCTTTCATCTTCAACCAAAAATGTTTCAGTAAATAGTGCCTTACTAATTGCAATAAAACTATTAGAATGTTAGAATCTACAAATCTATTCCTACAGGTTACAAGTTCTCTAGTTTTCCCTTGATGAGGTTCATATTTTCTTCAGCGCACGACATATATTTACTCCACTTGTCATCGGTTAAAGGCTTATATTTTAAAAACAAAAGCAGGTGAAAGGGCGGAATTTCGTCAAGCATGAGTCCATGGTACTCTCAATATATCGTTAACGTTTTCAACTGCCGTTCCTCAGACGGAAATCTTAAGGACTTAGATTTTGCTTTCAAGCTTTCAGAAGTTTCAATTCCAAAAATATTTCAATTCGAAAAAACATTTTATAAAATGAAAGTCTTTCGTGGAAATCTATAAAGTTCCGAACTCCTGATATACTCTAGTGATCGAGAAATTCCCAACAGTTATCGGAAAACCTTTGCGGCGAAAGAGTAAGTAATGGCGGCACTTATATGCGAAACGTGCAAAAGTTTATGGCGCGGCAAACGATCGAAGGCCTTTCAACGTCAGTAGGTCGCCTACGCTTTGGAGAAGAAATTCCACACAAGTTTCCATATATTATTTCAAAATACGCTGAAGCGCAGAATGATGGTTGTTCTCCACATCGGCTATCATGGTTCATATCCTATTGAAGATAGGAATGATAAGAAGTGGTATCCTAATGCAAGCACGGTGCTTCTCATTCACCACTAATTCTAAAGAAGTTGGAGAATTCCAATGCTTTGCTATATCTAAGGAAAAGCACCGCAAAATATTGAAACTGTTTTGCCTCCATTGATAGTAGTGTGGATAATAAAACAGTTTTAATTCGATATTTAGATCAACAGGACTATTGGAATCCCAAGGACCATTGCCAGCCTTTTATTGGATTAACTAATGAAGCACTGCTCATTAGGAAAAATCGGTGGGAATGATCAATTCAGCTCAAAGTTATGAGATGCCTGAATTCGGAGAAATCATTAAGACACGACTTATTTTTGACAGGGATTACTTAGATAGGGGAAACAATAGGTGATGGATAAAGTTAGCCAGGAGAAACACGGAAGCAAATGAAATTATGCTGGGTTTAGTTCTGGTCTACGTATTCTTAGTGCGACTATCGAAAATCTGAAAGGAATACACTTCACTGAAAGAATCGCAAGTGCATGAGTCATTTGCTAAGGAAGTTACGCTTTTTACAGATTAAAATTAAGTAAAGAAACAACTGAGTTAATGAGTACACAATGATGCCGAGACAACTTCAGCGAAACCGATTTCAGTACGACAATTTGTTTCGGGTTCGGTTACACTTTTAAAGTGAATTCCTGACGTTTTTGTTCGATCCCAAAAAATTTCTGCGCTCTCGCCATATAAAAGACACAGGTTAGCACCTCGCCCGTTCTCTCGTCTCATCGTGGCTCGTCCGCTACAATCCTTACTTGACGATTCTGATCTTCATAGGTCCTTTGACCATTCGCTTTTCTCAAATGTCCGACACAACGAAACTGATCGAAACCGAGTCTATGAAACGGTTTGCTTTATTAGGTGTCACTATCTCCACTGTCGTCACTCTGACAACCATTGTTGCTGTTCCAGTTCTCTGCCTTTACATGCAACGTATTCAATCCGATTTGCAGAATGAAATAAATTTTTGCCGGTTACGAGGTGGAAACGTCAAATCTGAATATAATAAGGCTTGTTCTTCATTCTTTATTCACTACTTCAAAAAGCTATCTGTCGCTATTTTTGCTTCCGCTCTACAATTCTACTCACTATCCCATTTCAGCTAGCTTCCATGCACCATGTTGTGCTAAGCCGTGAAAAACGCCAGATCGAAACATGCTGCTCATGCGGAGTCGGTAATCCAGGACCTCCAGGCGCGCCAGGAGAGGACGGTACTCCTGGCCGAGACGGAATTCCCGGAAATCCTGGCCCACCAGGAGAAGACGTCCCTGTAGTTACCCCTAAATTTACTGCAGAAGATTTCTGCTTTGACTGTGGCGACTCTCCCATTGGACCGCTAGGGCCACCCGGACCCAAAGGACTGGACGGAACACCTGGAGCGCTAGGTGAAGTTGGAGCGCCAGGTCGACCAGGACCCCAGGGACCACCCGGACCCCCGGGGTTACCTGGAAATCCAGGAAGAGACGGCCAACCAGGTTCCCCTGGTGAGCCCGGTCAAGTACGGACGATACCATCACCTGCTGGTGAACCGGGACCACCTGGAAATCCTGGCATACAGGGACAACCTGGCATTGATGGAATTCGCGGAATTCCAGGAAGACCCGGACAACCTGGACCTCCAGGAGACGATGGGCCTGATGGTGAGCCTGGTCAAACAGGAGAAGATGGAGCTCCCGGAGAACCAGGTTGCGATGGAAAAGCAGGATCGTGTGATCACTGCCCGCCACCTCGGACCGCTCCAGGATATTAGGCATTTAGTAGCAGCGTTCAGATTAAACATCACGGTGAATAGTACTATTTTCATGTGTTTAGTTCTTATTTCCAAACAAGTTCATATAATGTGCACTCGTTCTGTTGACATGGTCGCTTGAAGGAACCAGCACCTCTTTACCGAATCGTATTCGTTTCCACACCGAAGGTGATCGATTTGTCTTTCGAGAGCCTCTATTTTCACCGAGTACTGTTCCCATTCGCGTTGTTTTAACCTTAATGTTCTCTTCATGCTCGACACAGTTTCACCTGCAATTGGAAATAATCTGAATATGGTTAAGGATAAATATTGTTGATTAAAAGTGATATATTCGTTCACACCACAAGGATTCGCACCATCGAGTGAATTCCTTTCCAAATTAGACTCCTTATTACGATATTTATTGTACATTTGTATAAGAAAATTCAAACCAAACAAATCCTGAATTCATGTTTAAAAATTCATAGAAAAATAATTGAGTTTGTATAGTAAAAGTTCCTCATGAACTACCGTAGAAAGCGAGAAAATTCATAAGGTTGCTTAGTGCGTCACTAGTTGCCAGAAAGCCGATCGACGAAGGTTCTTGAAGCGATTCACCACATATTGTTGATCCAGTGACAGTGTTTCTGTAAAAAAAACGTAAGAGAAAAAAAGGAAGGAACAGAATTTTCATTTCAACCTTCTTGACATATTGGCCAACGAATGCGAAGTCGACGATGGCGAAACCGACGGACCAGTTGCTATCTGAAACGGAATTCTCAGAAATTTACACGAAATCACTTTGCTGGCCATCCTAATTTCGTTATGATTCAGAAATTAGGGTCGTTTAGCATTACATTTGAAAAGTTCTAACATTTCTAAAGAACATGTTTTCGCTGCTTATTGATTTAACCAAATGCTCGTTATGTTTACCGTCGATTTTAATCTACTGTTGTGCAGTTCCCTTAGAATGTGCAGCCCCTATGGGGTATTAGGGCATGTACTTAGCGTCAGATGTGCCTTGTAACACTGGATAGGTCGGTGATACCCCGGGCTCACCAAGCCTTCACCTCCCCGTTGTCGAGTCACCTGACTTGTCTGCGAGGATAGCATCACTGACTAAATATATCGGTGTACCACCACAAATGATTATATGCAGCAGATTTGCACTTAAACAGATCTACGAGCTTTGATGAAGTCGAATACCTGGCGCATCCCTTTGAGATTGATTAACGCCAAGGGCTTTGTCGTTTTTATCTTTTGCTGTCAGATGAACTACCTGATGAGGCTATGAGAGGCCAACGATGACCGTGGTCGTATTCATCAATACTCGTCAATTGTTTAGATAAGTTCGTTGCGTGCCGTAACGCACAACGACCACTTCAAACCTCAGTTGTATTCGCATACCTGTCCGGCAACTCCGTCAAGAACCTCAATCTGTTTCTTCAACAAACTTATCTCGTCCTCAGCAGCGAACCTCTCATTTTCAGCAATTGCCTTTTCCCGCTCAAGAATTAGAATCTGAAACATTGAATTTGCGCTGCTGAAAGAAGCTTAGCAATCGTTCGAGTACTTTTTCTGTCTCTTGTTCCGAATCAACCTGCATCTCCTGGTATTGAACCTCTTGAATCAGAACACCTTTCCCATCTACGCGAACTGATTCACGTTCAATCACTGCAGAAACATTCTGAAAAAAATGCACTCATGTGTACATCAGGTTTCACACATTCCATTGGAGTGCAGGAAAAGAAAATAACTCCCCATTCTTTTGTAAATGGCCTTCATTTTTCACGCGTTCTGAATACAAACTACTTTTCTTCTGAAAAACCCTGAACGTTAACAAATAGTGCTGAAAATCTTACTATGTAAAGCATTTATGAAAATAGGACGACTAAAGAGGAGGTTGAAAATCTTCGAGAAAAACGAAATTCTTCTAGAAGCATCTACATTCATAAGTTTCGAACAAGCACGTATACTTATATGGCCAAGCATACCCGATCTCTACCAATTATCAGATTACGGTCGTTTCGACGAAATGAACTCATTCATCGGCGAGTGCAGTGTCAGCGAATCGGCTTCCACCGAGTGCTGCCGATAGACGATACCACAGACTGCTGACAGCTCATCAGAAATAACAAGAGAACAAGATAGTGTACTCTCACAACCGTCTCGTATTCAACTTCATCCGCCACCAACACATGATTCACATATGATCATAAAAAATAATACGAATTCGATATAGTACGGTAGTAATAAAGCAGGTAGAGACTGCTAGAAGAAGGGTGGAGTGGCCAGGAGACTGTCAGCGTTCAATCACATCTACAACAGTAGTCATGTGTGATCGATACGGTACGAAAATAATGACCGCTTTCAACTTTGCAACAACATAACTCAGCTTACAATGTGAACTTCACCAGTATAAATAAAAAAAGAGTTGGGTTACAGATTTCTACTAATTAGACAAAGTTTTATCACTTCACTATAATAAAATTCCGATTTTCTGGAGTTAACGAAACGGATTTTTTCACTTTGCCTTCATATCAGGTGGTGAGAAAGCAAATAAACAAGCGGGACTTCGTCCAGACAGGACAGGACGCTCTGCCAGGATTTCTTCTCTGAAGCTGTAAAGATCTCAATTCCGACAGTCCTTCGTTCAGAAAGAAATCGAAGTCAGTTGTCGAAAAAGCAGCACGGTCACGAATACCATAATTCCTACTGTTTCTTTGGGGTGCATTCAGTGTTTTCATAGTAAAACTTTTCATCCCGCAAATGTGCGAATTTGTAATGGTTATAAAATTCAAGAATAAGGATAAGGATAAAGCTCTTGACGTTGACCAATTCCTGAGGGATGCGTCATCCATTCGACTTCATTCAGCATCGTCTGGAGGCGACTAATTCTGGCCTTTACGATGACTCTCAGTGGCCTACCGATGTATCGAGCCAGTGCTGCTATCCTCCCAGACAAGTCTGATACCAATTTGCCTACCCTGAAGGGAGGTAAGGGTTGGTAGGCGATGGGCGCGGGATTCCACGTGTGTGTTGCAGCGCCTCCCCGACCACTGCGCCACACGCGCCCTTATCAAAAAGAATGCATTAAAATGTATATAGAATGCAAACAGTAAAAATTATAACATTTAGTGGCAAGAACCCACCAGGAACTAAAGAAAGAACCAAGAATAAATAGAAACAAAAAATAATACGCACATAGAGGAATAAACCACTGTAAAGAGAGCAGCTTTTCGGCAAACTGCAAAACTCCAGTCTTTTTTGGTTCCACGACTTGCAAAAGAAAGTGAGGAGATGAAAGACAGAAGACAGTGTGAACCACACTGCCGGTTAGATCCTATTTAGCATAAAAAAAGGGCGGAAGGCGGTAACAACGAATACCAAAATAAGTAGTATAGTTGGCGGCTACAGTTGTGTTCATCGGTATCGGAAATTCTTTTGATTGAAATCGCTTTGTTTACTGAAGACCGAGCAATACAAAGTCTCCGGTTCAGTGGGACAGAACCATATCAGAATTGTAGACTCAAATTCATTCCGTTCAGCTGATCGAGACGCTATAACAGCTGAAATTTGAAATTCATTTCAAAGCTGTTGACGAGATTGACGAGAAGAGATTGTTGACGAAAAAAGTGTGGCTCAGTCAGTTTAGTGGTTATGTCTGTCTTACGTAAGTCCGAATTAGTGTCGCACATTAAGAATATGCGTCAAGAACATAAGAATTCCCCCCTAACAGTTTACCACTTCATCATGGATGGGAGGTGTTCCTGGGTGTCGGGTTGCGACGTATAGCGGGAGGATTCATCCTCCGGCAGGATCTCCTATGCTGAAAAGGAGTCCGACGTTTCCGTCAGGAAGCCAGCCCAGCTAAGAGTAAACCAATACTACGATCCACCACAGACCTGGTATCGAACTAGTCGCACAGTGTCCAATCCCCCTTCGATCCACAAGCCTGGCGACTAGTTGTGGTGGTGACCAAGTGGGGCAGACTTTGGTCAAGCCGACCTTGGAACTCCAGGGAAACACAATAGCTGAACCAGCAAAACTCCGAAAAATGGAGAATGTACTGGGGTCCGCACAACCAGTGAGGACGGGGCGTTCATGTATCCAAGTAAGCAAGTAGTATAAGAATTTCAACAAACCAAAAAAGGCCAACGGCGAAAAGAAAAATTTTCAAAGCAGAATGGAATGCACCAATTATATTCGTCATTAACCGTTCATGTTTAATTGTTTCATGTGCTCATAAAACACATCGTCCAAAATCAACTCGAATGAAATTGGTTCCTTCTTTTCAATCACTAATTACATTTTGAATCGCCCTTGTACATTTATTATATTCGCGAGTCCAGTACAATAGACCAACCTCTATTACGATTTCATTCGTTCCTTTGGGCAGTGCCACCGTCAGCACTCGTCTAACTTCGGCTTTGTCGGGGTAGACCACAACACTGTCCGTTGCCAGATCGGCGGCGTCAAAACGTAGCGCTCCTTCCGTCGTGGACTCGTGGCATGGCTCCACCATTACCTAGGGGAGAAACGTAACATACAGCCACCAACAGATATACAACATTTAGAAGCTTTGCTTCAATTAAAAAAGGAGGACAACGTTTTCGGCGTTGGTCAATCTCTAACGGATGAGTCATTCATTCGACTTTATTAAGAATCGTCAGAGTTGACTGAATGTATATCGGGCCTTTACAATGACTATCAGTGGCCTACCGATGTGCCGAGCCAATGCTGCTATCCTACCAGGTAAGCTTGGTACCAATTTGCGACCCCGGAAGGATTGAAGGTTTGGTGACCTTGTGGCGCAGGATCGAAACCCTGTATATTGCAGGTCGTCCCTAACCAATCGCTACACCCACCCCTGCTTAGGCTGTTTTAATTAGGATGAAATAAATGGCGTATATAGCGGAGTCGTTAGGGGTGAGCGTGCAGCAGATGTGTGGTCCTTAGTTCGAACTGCCACTGTATTAACCAAGCCTTCCTAAGTCTTCATCCCTTGCAATCGCAAACTGGCACCAGATATGCATGAAAATAGCTCCTTCTGATCCATAAAGTCCTGACGACTAAAAAGATGAAGAGTCTCTGGCTCCAGCAGAAGTATAACAGGATTGCGGGAAGGATTATTTTAACTAGTATGCAAATCAATTTGTGATAAAAAAGAAATCTTGAGGTAACAGCTGAACCCGTCAGACAAGTCTGAAGATCTCTATGAATGACGGCTGCTGAAAAACGATCGAAATGGAAGGAGTGCTAGGATACACACAATATGTTAAAAGTACAAGATAGATTTTGAAGAGGGATGAGAGCGAAAACTCGCAATTAGAGAGAAATTTTTGGCAGTTCACAGCTTTGAGTGAACAGAGTACATAAATGAGAGTTGAAAGCTAGGCGGCCATAATATGAAACCGAATCATGCATTAAACGTACGACGACAACAAAAACGATAACAAGTCGACTAAACGAGAGCGACAGAGTTCAGTGAACGACCAAAAGCAGAGCTGAAAGAGCCGGCGCGTGGGGTGAACCAGCGGAGTGGCCACACTGAGGACAACGATAAGTGGTGAAGGCTCGCCTTTCGTCGACATGCGACAAGCGTTTGATTAGCATGTACTAGGGTTGTCGAGGTGTTGCATATACAGCTGGCCCTCCCTCTGAAGCACCCCAATCCCCATATCAGAAATATTTGCTATAACACTGAAGTTGAGAATTCCACCAGGAAGGGAAAAAACAAAAAAGGTGTCCAGTCAATATTCTCGTCACAATTAGTTTGTAAAGGAAGAAAAGTGATTTGAAGCAGAAAATTTGTACGTTTCTTCTTCGTTCCTTCATTACTTGGATACCTGGATGGCCCGTCCTCACTGGTTGTGCGGGCCCCACGATGAGACAGTAAATCGCTGGCAAGGCTTTTTCCACTACGCCTTAAATTTATTCGAAAATTTGTGGATAACTTCAATGTTGTAAGTGCCATAAACGCAACTATTAGCTCTCCCAAAGACGAACTCATCCTCTTTTCTATACATTACGTATGAAAGAGAAATGTTACTATTGAGAGCAACCCCGCAACGATCTTTGACACCAAAAAGCTTTAAAGCCTTCGACGTTGATCAATCCCTGAAGGGATGCGCCATGCATTTGACTCCATCAAGCATCGTCTGGAGGTGATTGGATGCATATCTAGTCTTTACAATGACTCGCGGTGGCCTATAGATGTATTGAACCAGTGCTGCTATTCTCCCAGACCAGTCTGGTAGCAATTTGCCGACCCCGGAGGGATGGAAGACTTGGTGGGCCATGGGCTCGGGGATCGATTCCACGTGTGTGTTGCAGGGCGCCTCCGACTACTGCTCCACACGCACTCTTATTTGACACTATATAATTTGAAATCCTCTAGGCTATCATGTTGTACTTTATCATGAAATGCTCACAGAAACTGCATAGGGTTTTCATTGGGCATTAGGGACATCATTCAGAACATCATGTTGACATAAAAATATTGTTTCAGCTTTAATTTCTTCGTATGGATTGCTTATGCTTCTCCTTATCATCTTATTTGATTTCAGTATGATATAGCGTGGTATTTCCGATTTCGAAATGGATATAAAAATACAGCGCTAGAAATCATTTCCCTTAAAAGATATACGAAACCAAAAGGCTCGAAAATAGTCTTAAAAACAAGTAAATGGATAAAATAAAGTGAAATAAATATCTTTTCCATTTGATTATACATGACCCGCTTATCACATCTGCTGTGCAGATCCCAGCAATTCTCGCATTCGATTCGTATACCCGCATCCACCGTTCACGAAGGTCGCCCAACTTATTACGTAAGGCTTTGGCTGCTGATTGAGGATTCTCTTTTAGTCATGAATGCCGCTGAATGTTGGTCGAGTCGATACTCCCTGGAGTTCTGAGACAGCCGAGCTAGAGGATTCCCACTTAGATTACAAAGAGTGGACTTTCCCCAGGAAAGTTTGATACCAATTTCCCGATTTCGGAGACATGATAGGGTTGGCGAGTTTGATAGAGAGTCGATGTGGCACCGCGCTCGTGATGGTCGGCATCACTGCCACTGCGCTGCCCAATCGCTGAACGAGGTATAAAACAAATGAATCAAATTATTAGAAATAATGCTAAAAACAGTTTATGTCTGTCAGCGTATAAGAACAGCTTTATGAAGCAAGTAAAGAAAACTATTATACTACGCTTGTCTTGCTTTTTAAACTGAGAAACTTAGATGTATGAGATATCCAGAGAAACTCCTATAGCTTTATGGTGTCCCGCGGTGAATTTGCGTGAACATCGTTTCTGTCAGCGTCCATACACTGACCGAATTTTGCTTTAGCCAATCTCTTTAGTAGAGATTTAAAGAACGCTTATTTCACCACAAAACAGCTGACATGGAAAGCGAGAACAGATTTTGAAAACCCGATCGCGTGCTTGCCGCAGACCTATGCTAATACGGAATGAGAGGAACAACGAAACTACAGAAGAAGGATCCACTACTAGTCAACTCTAGTCGTTTGTTTGGGACTAAATTAACAGATTCGACATCGCAGCCTTCTGAAATATATAATATACGTAACGCACTTTGTAGCTGTTAGACAGTAAAGTAGGCTTAGTTCTTATTTACTACCTAATCTTCTTTCACGGCATCGTATTACGTAAAACACAAGCACAAGGATGGCGAGCTATGAACAAGACTCGGAGCCCCAGGTGGGCTTCGAACCCGAGATTACACTTACCGAAGACTCATCCTTCTATTCACCACATCAACCGAGGCTCTTGCTTTGCTTTTCTTTATACCACTTTTTACTCTAGCGGTGCTATCATCAATCACGGGTTAGAAGCTCATCTGAGGTTCTGACTTCCCCTCATAACTCAGCATCCTCGTTGCAGTAAAGTTAGTAGTGAGTATAATACACTAAACATGGTATACGGAGGATAGTAATGGCTGTACCGTATAGGATAATGGGCGACGTCCACGGCACTTGAATACGAAACATATAAATCTCTGTCTATGGAATGGATAGTGCTGACGAAATTACGCAATGATACGTGAGAAACCGAGAGATGGCCTGAAATCGGTTATTTTCATTTGAATAAGATGATGAAAATTTTGTAAAACGACTACGAAGGCTTTATGTCGTTGTGTAGATTCACCATATTCGTCTTTTCGTCAGATTTCCAGCCTTTCACAGACCACCAAATATCCGCTTGGTGGATTCGCGTACAGAGTGTCATAAAGAAAGGTAATGGCCATCGATGAAGATGGAGAAACTCAAGTAATAATAGAAATGACAGAGGCATCATCAGTTTTTCCTAACAGTAACTTACTACTATCCCTGATCTCTGGTAGTAGTACGTGGGAACGTGCACGTTATAAAAAAGTGACTCTTATCATAAGCACAATGAAATGCAGATTTACAAGCAGTTGTTTGGGATGAGCAACAAATTGATAGCCGGTGCCTTCGCGTGCCAGGTTTCAAACTGAGATAAGACATCGAAAGATTCCTAATTCTCTCTTTTATCAGTCCAGATAAATACCTTGCGTTAGATACACAAAGAAAGAACTTGTAAGACAAATATTTCTAATGACAAGAAAAACAGAAGCGATAAATTTTTACTCTTTTCCTTCTAGAAGCAAGTTGTAAGAATTCTCCGCTGTCTAGAAACACTGGAGACTGTGGCGACAATCTCAACCTTCTCAGCTCTCATCGGTACCGTGTCGCATGGAAAATTTCAAGTCTCGTTTGATAAGGCGGGTCACAAAACCTCTTTATTGTCTCAGATTGAGTACCAGTCTACCAATGACTTCACTAATGAAACTAATGAAGCCTTTGGCCACGAAACAGGTGGTGAACTTCGACGTAATCTTCTAGAGTTCATAGGCGAGGGTCATATAGGCGAATGATTTTATTTATTACTTCTGCAATCATTGTTGGATCTTTCCAAACGACGAGTTTTGTTGTCCAGCCTTCATCTTCAAGTACACATCTACGCTCGTTGTAAAGTCCACTAATCGACATAAAAATGGTAACGAATCACACATTTTGCCAAGTGTACTTATCTCAATGCAGCAAAGTTCTACGGCTCCACAAATCACTTCGCGTTAACTCTGAAAGACGGATGCACGTGTGCGCAGTGGTCGGAGGCGCCACTGAGAGACACACGTGGAATCAATCCCGGTGCCCATTGCCCACCAAGCCTTCCTTCTCTCCGGGGTCGACAAATTGGTACTAGACTTGTCTAGAAGGATAGCAGCATTGGCGCGATACTTCGGTAGGCCACCGTGAGTCATTGTAAAGGCCAGATATGCATTCAATCACCTCCAACGATACTTAATAATGATGTTGAATGCATGGCGCATCCTTCAGGGATTGATCAACGCCGAGAGCCTAATCCTTTATCTTTAATTCTGAAAGAATATTCAAAGTGGTCTACGGTCTGTGAGATGAACTATGAATGTGCTGAAGTAAGTAGTCTTTCCTACCACACATCTTTTGAACAGCAGAATTA